ATAACGGACATGCTGAACTTATTCAACCCACGATCAAGAAGTTTAGTTCAAGGTATGACTGCTGCATGATTAATGAATTGAACTGCACGTTTGAGGCTACGAGTTATAATGTATGTGTAAAATATGACGGGCAGGAATATGAGCAAGGTGATTATTTTCGCTCATTTCCAGGTTATTACGGCTGAGATAAGGAACAGTTTGTAGCGGGTATCTGTTTTTAGGGGGTAAATTCCTGGTTCACTAAAAGCTGGTTTCGCTTTCGATTCGTAGTCGACGGCTAACCGCGGTATATTTTGTCGAAATCATAGACCAATTTTTTGTGTATCGTAAACATATCGTTGATTCCATGTATGTGAAACACCATTACAGTTATCCACAAAGTGACTGACTTTCAGATTTTGCTATTCAATGCTAACAATCCGAAATTTTGCATCAATGCATTTATAGTAAATTGGGACAAACGTCATATATAATGTAAAACAATGTATATAGCTATATGGCTTATGCAAATATTGTATCCTTGGCTTTCTTTAGTCGGTATAAAAGCTCATTTTCAGAAGTACTATATAAATGAAGATACGAATCTCTTGAAATATAACCCATTTCGCTTAAAATTCCAGTTTTGTGAGGTCTTGGATACTGCATTTTTCTTGTGTATAAAATGTTTGCATATAATAATAATGTGGCCACAATATCATATTAACGTTTCAACTAATTTTACATGCTTAAGATGGCGTAAAGCGTTTTATACGTTTTAAAAATCTACTCTGAAGTTTTTTGCAATCAGTAAGGGCTATCAGGGTCTGGACCGTAGCCTTAGAAACCTAATTGGGGGGGGGGGTGCAAGGTGCAAGGAACTCAGCTTCAGGAAACTATCGTCAGTAGAAAGAGAAAAATTTAAATATAGCTGATGGATGGGGAAAGTATTCGTCACAGCCGTGAACCTTTTTCACTATTACACTCAAATTGGCACTCAGCATTCAAGCCATGTTAGAAGCAAAGTTTATTACCATAGAAAGAATATTTACTCATATGCGGTGAGATAATTCAACCGCTCCCTTTCACAATTGTAGATTGAGCTATGGCTGAGCGCCCAGACAATTCTTCTTCACCGAATGCAGATGGTTTGGGAGTTGACATCCTTAAAAAATATCAGAATATGATTACAGCCCTTTTTTCATTTATAAAAGTGGGAAATCGGGATGATCAGGTTGCACACCAAGGAATGCTGCGTTGTGTGATGAAAAGTGCTCCAAATTTAGTCGCTGCCATGAGTTTGTTTGAGCGTTCTGATGTATCCATTTTGTTTGCCTCTGAAGACGAAGTTATCGATTTCTTTGTAACTTATTTTCACGAGGCGCAGAACGTGAGCGAAAAGAAAAAAAGTTTACCAGAGAGGCTAATTGAATTCGCAAAACTACCAGAGAAAGTTCAGGGTAGGCTTTTCAAATCGGTACACTCATTATTGCAAGAGTACGCTCAGTCTGACGAGGTGTTAACTGAAGAATATACAAGTGTTCTTGTTAAATTATTAATTCTAATAAAGACTCTTGGTTTCGATCAATTGATTAGAATCCTTATGCAGTTTTCCGTTTCATTACCTCATCAAAATGTACTTCTCAGAATACTCGACGATAAGCCTTTCGCAAAGGTTTGGCTCGAAATTCCATTTGAAGAAAAGGTCAACATTTGTGAATCGTGGGCTACCACCAGAGTTATGAATCTTAACGGAGGCAGTCAACCCGGTGGCTCAGGGAAAGCTGTGGCAGTTTATGAATCTATTGATGCAATAATGCGATGTTCCCTGAATGATTCAATTGCTGAAATACTCGCTCGGAGAGTGTCTGACAGTGTTGTGAAAAGAAGTCTTGAAAAGTCTGATTTCTTTGGCGTTCTTCAAGCTTTTGGTGCCATAGAAAAATGTTCACCCGTTGTTCAGAAGTGCTACATATCCCATGTAGGGAAGATGTTGACACCAGAGCGGATAAAAAAGTCAAGTAAATTCCTAGAAAATTTGTCCAGCAGCAAGTGAGTATCTCTGTTTTTAAAATTATAATCATAAGCACACCAGACAACTGCATGTGAGGGCAGTATCGATGAAGGTAAACAAAAGATCCACTGTTTCCATTCATACTAGTCCCATGAAGAGGTGATCTATTACATATATATATACATATATAACTATTTTGTAGTTAATGGCAATAATTTAAAATTTCCGATTGTATATGATTTATTAACATCAGCACTATTCTTAACACTGACTTCCGTAATTATTGTCTTCATAGTCTTGGTCGAGAGCTGTTGTTTTGTATTCTTGACATCATACGTGCACCCGAAGTGGCCGAGAAAGTTTTGACCGATGAAAAAGCCTTCATGAATATTTTAGACTGGTGTGATGTTTGGATAATCCTATTTAAAACAAACGGTACGTCACTGCCGCACAAAAAACCTTTAACAGATATTTTTGCATATGTTTTCGGTTTTTATTGATCATATATCATATTTCACATATCATATTTCTTTATTTACCTGCATAGCGGAGTATTTCGTATTCTAAATTTCGCTGGAATTTTAGACGATTCCAGCCAGATAATAGCGAGGAAACACATTTTCAAAAACTGTGCAAATTTTTCTTCGCCAACTCTTTAGGAATGCTTGAGAAGTCAAAAAAGTATCGCGCGGGAAAATTGATTTGCCAGCATCTGGCAGAGCACATTCGAGTCGGCAACGTCTCATTGGAACTATTAGAAGTGCTACACAATAATAAAAAAAAGGTTTCATTGTTATGTTCAAATATATCATCCAATCATGACTTAGGACAGTCTTTGAATGAAAAAATCTCCGAATTAAATCGTGTTGTTGAAGATTGCCCCCAAAAATTTCAGTTGCTTGAGGCAGCGATCAATTACGGAAAAGCGGTGTCAGGTGAAACGTTTCAATTTCAATCCGAAACATTTATCGAGGCACTCAATGTTCTGAAGAAAACCTGGCGCACGAAGAAAGTCAGAGAGTTACAGCATGAACAATTTTGGGGACTATTACTGCCTCTTTTAGGCCCAGCTAAATCACTTCACGATGATTTTCAAGCGCAATGGAAGTCTTTTCGGCATTATCCAGGATTGCTTCGCGTAGAAACCGTTAGTACATTACTTGACACCTTGAAGAGTGAAAACAGACTTATCGAAGGACAGCAATTGTTGGAGAAATACTTCAACCGAAAATTTTCTCCTTCCATCAAAATGTACATCGACGATTGTGTCAATTTACCTAATGTCCTGAATACATTTCTGTGCGTTGTTGATGTATTAGAAGCCTTTGGTTTGACGGACCCATCTGTGAAAGAATATTTACAATTTCAAAAAACTTTGAAGAACAGGAAAACGCTCACATTGGCAGAGCTGCACGAAATAATGGAAAAGATAAAGCCAACAATATTACTATTTTCTGGAAATAACGTTGATAGTGTGTTGCAGGAGCTGGCACGATCAAAGGAATTGATTAATTTCATGGAACAGATTGTCGAAGAAGATGTTCGTTTCTTGATTGACGCCGTTGAGGAACATTCAAATGTTACCATGTCATTGGTTTCCGATTTTATTATTGTTCATAGCTTTTTAGCACGTTTGATTAGGATGAGAAACGAAAAGAAAATATTTTATCTCGAGGATTTTCTAAAAACGTTAACATCCCGGATTGATGAAGATATAGCAGGAAAGATTAAGCAGTGTAGTATAAACGTCAACAATATTCGTAGTTTTTACAAGAGCATTGCAAACCGTGGCGAGATGACTAAAGAAATAATCAGAAATTGTCTGAGCAGAGGAGAATATTGGGTGTCGCAGGAGGATGGAAAATGTGAAATTAAGATGAGATATGTTACTGTTGAAAGCGACAATGAAAAAATCTGTTTTTTCTCGCTGTTAGATTTAAATGATTTGCAAAGTCGTGCTGATCTCATCCGTGCTTCTTGTGCAAATACGAAGGTTCCATTCAGCTATTCTAGCAAGAGCGAAGAAGACATTGACTTTGACGACTTTATAAATCAAATTAATTTGTTAACAGAAATTTCCATCCTTCTCTCGAAATTGCTTTCGTCTGGCTTTGCAAAATATCGAACGTATATAAAAATTCTGAAAACCACGGATGATCTCCAAACTAGCAGAGATGAGCTGCAGATTGTTCTAAAAAACTTGGAAAACCTCTTGAAAGAATCACGTGATAAGTTTCACTTCCTTAACTATTACTGCTCTGATCAACTGTGCAGACTGTATTATTATTTGATAAATGAGTCTGACGTTAATTGCGACGATATTCTTTCGTTAATCCACTATGTTGACCGTACAATAACAAAACAAGAGTTGGGGCAGCAGAGACAGTCGCAGAAGCCCGAGAAATCAGGCTCTAATGACAGTCCGGACATTTTATTATCGACTGTTGGTCAAGCCTTGGAAAAAATCTTCAGTAATTCGAAACAAGTTATCAGATTCATATCCGATGATAAAGGAAGCCTGTGGTATTCCAAGCTAGAGGCCTTAGTTACACCTGGTGAAATTTTCGTTGCAAGTCTGGAACCTGAAAGTCCATTGACGGCCAACGTGATCCTTACACTGTACGAGAATACATCAAAAGCGTTTCCGGAACCGTATCAAATTGTGTTCTGCAGTACTGAAACGACTTGGGAGGAAATACATCTCTTACTTCAACGATGTTTTGAGCGCTCAAAAGACGTGCATCGGAGGAATTTGTTCTGTATTGCAAATGTTGAGTTATTACCGAATGAATTGCAATTTACATTAGTAAATGCAATCAAAAACAGGCAGAAATGTTATCAAAGTTCCGAGGCTATGAACGAAAACCCCGATTACTTACTTGCCTTGATTTGTCGCGGTGGCGATCATCATCACATTGTGGAACAGTTCGCACAATTTTCGCACAACATTGCTGGTATGAGCGACAATGCTCTTTCAGATCGTCTCAGATCTTGTTGGCCTGAAGTTAAAATGATTACATCAACACTTCCTGGTCTTGGCAAAACAGAACGAATCAGACGTGAAATACAAGAGAAGAAAATGAACGCCGCAACATTTTCAATCAGTGGTCCATTTGAGCCAAGCAAACTCATTGAACGCCTGAAAAAGCTCAAGCTCAGGAAATATCATTGCTTGCATCTGGATATTGGCGAAGTAAGTGACCCGTTGCTGTTAGATACATTCTTATTTCAACTAATTGTCACTGGGATGGTTTCAGCGGGAATGCAATTTTATCATCTTCCAACAACGCACATCTACATTGAGATTGCGAACACGCTGAAAGATTGGCTCCTGGAATCTTTAGTTGTGTCAAAATATTTCACACGGATTCGCTTGGAGTGGCAGAATTACAAGAATCTTTTAGTCAGCCCGGAAATTACAAGTAATATCCAAGTTGTTTGCCAGTACTTGGATATATTCGATCGAACTTGTATGGAATTAGAAGAAGTCCAATTTAGTGGAGCAACTAAGTCAAAACCTTTGTCAGCAAGACGTTGCCAAGATCTCCTGGCTAAATACTACTCGTCAGATGCTGATATCACCTTCACAACCCTTCATAGATTTCTTGGAGTTCTGGCTAGTCAACTCTCAAAATTTTCTGAAAGTGCCTTTTTCAAAATTGCAAATCTAAAGTCTATGATGGGTGATAAAGGTCATAGTGTTCGCAGTAATCTTTTTGGCGCCCTTTTGAAAGTATCTAAAGAATTTGCATCACGAGCTATAAATACCTGTCGCTCCAGTGATAAAAAGAATCTATCTCAAGAAGAGTCAGCGAAAGCGTTTGACGAGGCCATGGTGTCGACTGCCACGTCCGCTAAAGATATGGTCGATTGGGTAACGGGAATGATAAAGTGGAAAGAGTGGAATGATTTTTTTGTCGTGTTTCATGGTCTTAACTCGCAAGCAATCACTGCCATGTATTGGAACAGATCACTTGTTCCCGAAGGTGTGGAAATGTTACTAAAAAGTCAGGGTGTGGGAGAAAATGAAGAGCTTGAAGACTTCAACTGTTTTACTCAAGAACAGCTTCAAAAGAAACTAGAAAAGATAGCTTGTTCTAAACCAGTTGAAAGGAGCAACTTATTCCAAGGTTATCGTTATGCACTGACCCCAGATAACATCTTGAAAATGATATTGATCATATTACGGGTCCGTGCAAATATCCCGATCATCATTATGGGAGAGACAGGCTGTGGGAAGACTAGCCTTGTCCGCTATTTGGCTAAAACGTGTGGCGTACAGTTTCATACATTCAATTTCCATGCTGGAATATCGGAAAAAGATATCGTTGCATTTATCAGTATGATAAACGAGAGAAACGAAGAAATGTGGATATTGCTGGACGAAATAAACACGTGTGATCATCTGGGATTGATCAATGATATAATGTGTCATCATTCTTTGTGCGGACGACGACTATCCAAAAATCTTGTTTTCCTTGCAGCTTGTAACCCGTACAAGCTACGTCCTCAAGAACACATTAGAGCAGCTGGTCTCGAAGGTAAAAATATCACTGATGAGTATTCTGGACTTGTTTATCCTGTCCATCCACTACCAGAAGCTATGATTGACTATGTTTGGGATTATGGTGCACTAAGCCCAGAAGATGAGCGAAACTATATTAAGAGAATGGTGAGAGACCTGCCAAAGAAATATGAGGGAATGCTCGTTGATTTGCTAGCTGTTTCTCAAAATCTCATTCGGAACGTTGAAAAAAATCATTTTTGTGTCAGTCTACGGGATGTGAACCGTTGCATTCACTTGATCAGTTGGTTCAATAATATGCTCAAGACGCGACAAGAGCTTAAGGAAAACAAGGTTGAATACCCCAGCCATCTTCAACAATATCATTCGATTTCACAACAGTACAAAAATGATCCGACGACCAAGAGTATTGTCCTCGCTCTTGCACATTGTTATTTATCCAGATTACCAACCGCGGAGTTGCGAAGAGATTACCGAGAAAGCATGATGTACATATTCAGCAACAACAAGATACAAATGACCTACGATGCAAATGTAGATACGTTCACAGCCATTGTACGTATGGAGGAGGAAGATTATTTAGAACGAATGGACCTCCCACCTGGGACAGCAAGAAACGCTGCACTTCGGGAGAATATGTTTGTAATGTTGGTTTGCATCTTAAACCGCATTCCAATTTTCGTAGTTGGAAAGCCTGGCTGCAGCAAATCATTATCCATTCAATTGATTCGAAGCAACCTACGCGGACGTGATTCACGAGATCCTCTATTTAGACAGTTGCCACAACTTTACGTCGTCTCATATCAAGGTTCAGAGTCGTCCACATCAGAAGGAATCATGAAAGTGTTTGAAAAGGCACGAAAATACAAAGACTACAACAAAGATGGAAATGTTCTGCCCGTCGTTCTACTCGATGAAGTTGGATTGGCTGAAAATTCAAAGTATAATCCTCTTAAAGTTCTTCATAGTTTGCTGGAACCTGGTGAAGGAAAATTGCCAGATGTTGCCATCGTAGGAATTTCTGATTGGTCTCTAGATGCTGCCAAGATGAACAGAGCTATTCATTTATCCAGACCAGAGCTAAACAAAGAAGATCTTTACGAGATAGGGCATTCACTGCATTATGCTGATGAAGGAGATGACAGCCAACACTTGAGAGTTGAAGAACTACGATGTTTAGCCGAAGCCTATTTTGAATATCAAGCTCAACAAAGACATGCGAATTTCCATGGTCTTCGCGACTATTACTCCCTAATCAAGAGTTTGACTGGTAGTAGTAGCTTCCAGCAAGTAAACATTTCACTACAGCGCAATTTTGGTGGACTTCCAGGTGAAGTGACCAACATTCAGAAGATTTTCCTTGACAAATTAAAAACATTCATGGTATCAAGTGGTCAAGACATTATTCCAATCACACAACTAATTCAAGAGAATCTCTCAGACCCTTACGCTCGCCACCTGATGCTTATAACAAACGGGGATTTAGCCCTTGGTATCCTGAAGCAAAGTCTGGCTCAGTTAGAAAAGGAGACCATCACGATATTTGGCAGCCGATTCGAGGAAGACCTTTCGGAAGAGTACAGCTACAGAATCCTCAGTCGTGTCATTCTTTGTATGGAGCGGGATTGCATTTTAATTTTGAAGGATCTAGAAAGCATTTATGGAAGTCTATATGATATGCTAAACCAGAATTACACCGTGGTCGGGAACAGGAAAGACTGTCGTGTGGCCCTTGGAGCTTATAGTAATCCAATGTGTCAAGTAAATGATGGCTTTCGTTGCATTGTCCTCGTTGATCAGCACAAAGTAAATTATTCTGACCCTCCATTCCTCAACAGATTCGAAAAGCAACTTTTACGATTTTCTGATGTGTTGACTGAAGATCAGAAGGGTGTTATTAACGAGCTGAACCGTTGGGTTGGAGGAATTTCTACCGTAGAAGGTTTACAATCACATTTCCACGTATCAGATGTTTTCATTGGTTTTCATGAAGACACCCTCCCATCACTGGTTTTATCACATAGTCATGACGCAGATAGCTCAACAGACGTTTTGAAGAAATGCAAAGATGACCTGATGTGGGTTGCTTCACCTGATGGCGTGCTTCGAATGCAAAAATGTAACTTTTTGAAAGAAGATTCAAGCGAAGTCCAAGACCTAAGTGATGAATATTTCCGGAAACCACTCCATCATGGTTTTCCCGCCTTCTTTGAACACGTTGTTGCGAATCATCAGGAATCTTCTTTCTTTGCTAGTGATGAGATTGGTTCCAAAACGATTGTCATGACATTTGCCAACATTCACACAGATATACGTCAGTGCTTGGGCAATGGTGTAAGATGTCAAGTCGAACGACTGAGTGCGTACAAGTCAGAGAAGCAGTTAGCTGAAAGAATTAGCCAATTCTGGAATGCTTCAGAAAAGGAGTTGCTGGTTTTGCAGTGTAAACCAGATTTAGATGGCACACATTTACTCCTTGCCCGTTCCATAATTGAAGAAAAACGAGATGCCTACAAGCAATGGTTGCATGAAACAGAGAGTAAAGCACAAGGATTCAAGCACGTTTGTATCGTAGTACATGTGCAACGCGGAGAAGAAAACGCAAATAGTATTCGGTGGCAGTTCAGCTTTTTGTGTGGTTGGAGACAAGTCTTCCTTGACGTTCTTGAAGCCCCTCTTGTTCCACTAAACGAAATTCTCGGTGAAAGCGTGCAGAAACTTCTCACGTCTTCCATATGGCCTATACGGAGGATCGCGCAAAATGATCTGTTATGGTGTTTCACGTGCATCAAATATACACGATGGCAACGGCCTCTGGATACGGTTCTTCGCATTGCCAAAAGTCTATTTTATTCAGATACAGTTTCCGAAGTCATTGAGAAACTTATCCTGGAATCGATTAATCTGAATACCCACGAAAAAGACCAGGATATTTATTTTAGAGACAGTTGGCAAGTAAAAGTTGCTTGTGATCGGCAGTCGTTGGTTAATTCATCCACTCTATACTGTGCAATGGAACAGTTCGTCTCTCGGTTAGTGCGAAATCCTCTTGCTAAAATCGTCTACTTTCTGGAAAAGGAAAATGCTTGGCCACCTCATCTTTGTAACGATCTTGATGAAACCCTGTTGCTAAAGTTAGAAGACATGTGGCGTAATTTTATCTTGGATAGCGCAGTTTTCAATATGTCAGACATTCCTGAGCCTCATGGAGCTGAAACATATATTCTTGAAAGCATCAGCCTTGATCTTTTGCTACCTTTCAGCCAACTTGTTAGCAAAAAAGTTGACAGTGTTAAGGAATTTTTTTGGAAGATTGTTCACAACTGGTGGAAAATAAAGATAATTTGGATGAAAATGGTGAACTAAACCAGTCTGTTCGACAACAGCAACTGGAAAGATTTGCAAAGATGATCACAGACCAGGTACCCGAACTTGACAGCATAACCACTCACTTCCATATTTTGTACATGACGGATATTTTCGATATGATGACTGCCGATTTTAGACTAACATTACCTCGTTCACAGAGGGTGGCACTAGTACAAGCAGTGTTTACATCGGAGGTTAAGCAGGGGTTTCCGGCAAAAGACATGCCCGAATTTTTCGCATTGCTTCACACATTTGCTTGGGTTCACCGGGAAGAGATTCTAGATATGCTGAAAATGATTGACCATTGTCGCTTGTTCATAGAACTAAGCGTTCTTTTAAAGATAACGGATGATATACTGGGCAGTTCGAAAGAAGTTATGCTGGCGGAAATTGATGAAACGGAGTCAAACCCACAAGTAGACAGCCAAACTGAAACGCTTAATGAAAATCTGGAGACAGCAGAAAACACTGAAAGCGACGGTGAATTGGAATCAAACGAAGATCCATCCGAGCAGAGTGAAGCAAAGCTTGCTGATATAGACCTGGAATTCGAGAAACCTTCATCAGAAAACGAAGATAACGAGGAAGAGGTCATTGAAGAGATAATGGACGACCCTGGAGATTCAACCGAAAAAATAGGAGATGTCTTGGTCACTTTGTACTGTGAAATGATGTTCCCTTCGCCAGAAGTTGTTGAAAAAAGTGGTAGTCCCGAACTGTGGATGCGAAATGCCAACTTACTCCTTTCATTAGCACTTAAAATCAGTGAACACTCACCAGCATTCCATTACTTACGTTTGTGCGTTGATTTTCTACGGATCAATTTCATCTCTGACGAATTGCCATTGTGTACTTTGAGTGAAATCGCCACAACTCTTTCTCCAGAATACTTGGATCACGAGGATTCATTCGAAACGATAACTGAGCAACTAATTAGACCGTTGGAGGAAGAAATGAAAGGTAACAGGCATAAACGGGAAGCCTTACAGAAGTTCTCAGCTCTGTTTTACGGCCGTTGTATTGACACAAATGTTGATACTTGTGGTGTTAGTCCTATTGTTAAAGAAGTTCTTTCTTTGGAGCGACCTGAGTTGGTGTTGAAAATGAGTCCTGTTGTGCTACGGTTACTCATGGTTGAACAAATGCAGTCTCCTGGCATATTTAAGAATTTGATCGACAATCCAAGTGTCATGGACAACTGTCCATGTCTTCAGAATATCGATGAAGTTTTCAGTGATCTTTTTTCCAATGGTTTGATACATCATGATTCATATCCTTCAGTAATGACCTGCGATTTAATTGAGAGTCAGCTAGATTTCAAGAATGATTTTGGTATCAGTGATCTAAATAGCTCTGATTGTGAAGTCCTCGTGCTTGCCAAATCTGCTGTAAACGTGATAGCTCAAAACGGTGAAGATGCTTGTGGTATCAGAGTATTCTCTTCTGTTGCCTTCCTTCGAGGATTCTTTACAATGTTAGCACAGTTTATCGCTGCAAATCCTGGTGTTATCGACAAAGGCAGCCCTTATGTCCCAGTTATAACTGAAGTCAATTCATTACTAAAAGATGCTAAATCAACCTTGCCGACATTTTTCTTGAAACAACTCCGAGAGAATGCAGGTATATTTGATCTACAAAAGTGGTTTGGTGAGAATAGCGTGCTTTCATCAATAGAGGAACTATGGGCCAACGAAAAATACGAAGATAAGTCGGTATTTACCACTGTTTTAAAACATCCTGAATATAAAGACGCGATGGCAGCCTACTGCAAATTGATGTCAAACGACAAGCAATCAATGCAAAAGTTTTTGAGCAAATGCTGCGGTTCACATAGCCATGCTTTTGCTCTCCTTGGAATCCTAATAAACATGGTGTACTTGAAACGTGCCGTAAGAAAACTAGCTCCTAAGGAAGAAAAACTTGTTGACTGGTTTCAAGAGAACGTTCCTCTTTTTTCTAGCTTGTTTCAAGAGCTTCTGCTACGAATTATAGGTCGTAAGGATTTCCATTGTCCAGAACTACAGCTATCACCGGAATCTTCAGTTGATGATGTCGAATTTGCGCTGTTAGTTCTTCACATCGCCTGTGTCGTCGCCACTGGTGCGCTAAATGAGAACCTGCCATTTTATTGCTACGTTACAAATCCTGTTAAGTTCAAACAACCTTTGGTTCTGGCTCATTGTGAAGAGGAATTACATTCCATATTCAAGTACAAACCATATCTCATGGACTCCGTTCTTGCGACCTGCCAATGTGGTGTAAGGTTGGCCTTCAACAGTGAAGTAAATGAAGCAAAGTGCCCTCGTTGTCATGAAATCTTGAGTGATGAAACAGAGAGCGGTACGTCCGCAACACAGCCACTCTCCTTCCATTGTGGTGCAAGTCTTGAAAGTGATCTCTGCGCAAAACACATGTGTCCAGCGGTGTATCGTGCTTTGCATCTCGTTGTTTACTCATCCTACTACGCCGGAGTTGCACTTGGAACTTCGAATAAAGAGAATCTGTCAAGTGTCTTGAATGTATTAAATGCATTTGGTCCTGATAGCGATCCAGTGAAGACATGTGTTAAGACCATTAGAGATGATCTGTCCCATCTAATGAAAATTCTTAGCTGCAAGAGAGATGTTGCCATTAAAACCATGCATCTTGTCCTTGAGAAAAGTTCAGATCTTATTACAAGTAACAGTATGCTAGGAGCAAATGACTGTTCCACGCAGGAAGGCCGCAGGGGATGGGAAGTCGAGTTTTCACACCTTACGGAACCAGTGTTTTTAAAGCTACGTGAAGCTCTCGAGAATATGCAAGTGTCGATAAAACTGCAACAGACGAATGACAATCAAGAAAACCTTTCACTTGAATGCCGTATTTTGGAACTCGACAACTATCCCAACGAACCGACTGAGCAGAATCAACAACTAAAGAGATTATTCCGTGCGACAAAGCAACCATGTTTTGAAGATTTCCGATCAGCATTCTTACATTCTCCTAAAGAGATTCAATCAAAGCACAGTTTCTTGGCTTTGTTCTTCGCAAAGTTTGAGCAACTCCCGATCATTGGCCATCTTCATCATCTGCTGAAATGGTCTCGTCTGGTATCATCAGCACTGACCCACCGCATTAGTAGAAAAGATGCAGAATCAAAGTCTATCAATGATTTTATCAGCGGCCATCTTCTGGAATTAGAGCGTTCTCCTCAGGAACTAGAAAGTTTAAGATTGTTGTTCGACAGCTTCAAAGAAGCGTGGAACGAAACGCGTCCGCTAGTTAATCAAGCGCTTGCTGAGAAAGAGTTGGACAAAATGCCTTGGTTGGTGAAGACTGATTGTATAGCATACTGTCTAATGGAGAGTGATTTTGGTGTCTATCTTAAAGAGGCTGTTGGGATTCTGGTTTCCTACCAAAATTCAATTCTAGACGTAATACTTTCTCTTTCATCCTCACATCTCCAGCCCGCTTTAAGTGTCTTCGAAGAAGACCATGGCAGTAGTGTCGCGTGCGTAACCATTCAAGAGGTGAAAGAAAAAGAAATCATCTGTTTCCAGTGGTTTGACGCTGACTTGTTGAGATACGGACAAAACAATCTAGAGTATGGCAAAGGCCGAAAAATCACATATGATTTTGAGCGAATTGAAATGTGGCTTGCATCAAAAATCGTGTTTGGAAAGTGCTTCTTGACCGGGGCACTCACAAGGTTTATATTTGCAAAGGAACTTTTCCACTCCTGTGGTCAATTGTTGACAGAGATTCGAAAACTGGTGAAACAGAATCCAATTTTGCCAGAGGAAGTATGTAAAGGTTTAGCTATCCTGAAAGAACGAAGAATCAAGGAAGCCCAAGATCTTCTCCAACATATCGAGGTGCTTATCTTTCTGCTTAAACGAAAATTGAAGACCTTCAACGTCGATATGACTTTAGAAGAGCTCGCTGAAGAATGGACCTCGATGTTACCGAGTCCCTTCCCTGTCAGTCTGTTACCAGAACCAAGAAGTTCCATTAAAATCAAGCACGTAGCTGCTCTTTACGAAGCCCTCGAAGATCTGCTGGTTGATGGCGCTATTGACGGTCTAGCAGATCAATTTCGATACCAGTTGCCGATTAAAATGAAAGAAGCCATTTGCGCTGTGCTGGCCAAAGATGTACTGGCGTTAAAACCACCCAACTTCCTTAAAGCGTTGCGCCGTTTCGTGTTTCGTTACCTCTCATCCGAAACTGAAAGATATTGGCCCGAAGAAAGAAAATCGTTGCAGTCGTGTTTGGACGAACCTTCGCTTTGGTCACCACTCCCACTGCCAAACCTTGACGAAATTCCACGAGAAATTACCCTAGAAAATATTCACTCGACCGTCAAGTACATAGAAGAAGTGGAAAAGGTGAGATTTCGATTCCTATAAACAATTCAGCTCTAATGCATTCGGTAGAGAATTTCTATTTTCAGTTAAACTTTCTTTTTCAGTTGTTTTCATTAAGTATATGATATTATATTCTGCTAATAAAGAATATATGTGATATAATGCAGTTTGTAGAATGACTCTCTTGAAGAGTTTTCGTGGTGTATACTCAAAGAGGATAATTATTTTACTTATTTAATTTGCCATTGCTACAGTAAATATAGTTCAATACAATAAAAAGACAATAGGCTTTTTCGGTAATTACGTCACAACATTTTAACATCGCAACATTTTAAATTTAGAATCACCTTAAATGAAATGGATTTCAAGTTTTACTCTTACGAGCCACGTCAAAGATACAAAACATTCTTAGCCAGTACATGTTCTGGCGAAAAAACTCGTGCATACTAGAAAAACGGTTCAATCGTTGCGATACTAGGATTTGGTTGGACCACATTTCTGTGGAATACTCAATATATGTATTAATAATTCTGATATAATGACAAATATGCATGAATGAAGTCAACAAAATGAACTACAAATAAAAATATTTTTTCTTAGGAGAGGAAAGCAAGCATTTCTAGAAGACCCGGTCTACGAAGTTCACCGCGTCAGCCTCAGAAAATCAAACAACCAGGGAAATCAGCACGACGTCGGGTTGAAAATTTTAACTAGATTCGACAATTAAAGCCAACCTTTTTTTCCTATTATAATTATATGTGTAACGTTTTAATTTTTTCATAATATAATGCAACGATCTTAGCTGAGCGTACAACACTCCTCGAACTGCTAGTGCTAAGCCTACAGGCAGTGGCGTAGCCAGCATCGATAATTGGGGGGGGGCCATATTCATATATTCATGTTAACAGACTGTAAAGACAATTGATTTGGGAAGAAATTAAACCTGCGTACGTATCACGAATATATGAATATGGGCCCCCCAATTATCGATCTGGCTACGCCACTGCCTACAGGTAAGTAATGAATTGATAAGTCATCAAGTAGAACTATAGTGTTTAGGTATAATTACCATGCAGTGCATGCACTACGTTTCAAGAAAAAATGCACTTAATTCAGCCCTAAAAGAACAAAAACACCAACTCAGTTGCACTAATCTTATATCCTAAATTAGTAAATCCGCTTATCTTGAGTAGTATCGTCCAGGATTAGACGAATTCGAATGCACTTTGATTAGGTGTATAGCAAACGTCAGTATCAAGACACCATCTTTTTCCTAATGTGGGCTACCAATAAGCTAAATTCATTCCATGTATATATGGGACTAATAATAGCATGAATAACGATTTCGACAGTTCGACATAAATGTTTTTTGTCATCAATTGATTAAACGAATGTTTAGCCCATGGTAACATGTTTTAATAATTCATTGATTATCCTCATGTTGATGTAATCGATGTTCACGTGAACCTCATTTATGGTGATTTGAATTTCAAGAAGCTGATGTCTTTGCAACTGTGGGTTTGGCATGGGACTCAGACATTCCAATTTAAAAAAAAAAGATAATTTCTATACCGGATGTATAAAAAAGAAGAGCGATATCGGAGTCCATTGTTAAAAAGAACAAAATTGGAAAGAATGGGAAATTAATGAGCAGTATAAATTCATTTGTTGAAATGTTCGAAATGAAATTATATCAAAAATGAGATTTGATTAGATTGTGCATGTTTGCATGTTTGCGCACCTGTTTGCGCACCTTAACAAATTGACCAGGGGCCGGTTGTATCAACTACATATTCAGTGCATAATATTCAAGTTGACTCATTCAAAATAGTTGTAAGAGTGTTATTTAATTTTGACTTATCCACCGTTTAAGCTAAACGGGCTTGATACAACCTGCCCCAGGCATTAAAATGTTAACAAAGGATTAATTTCTAATGGTCTTCTTTTTTTACACACCCTATTTAGTGTGCACTTTATTCTTATATAGTAAACATCAGTATATATAGTCTTTAGAGATGTCATTAACTACCAGGTAGCTCTGCTAAGTACCAACTGATAGCTACGTTCGGCAAAAATAGCCTCGACAAAAAGTGTAGAGTAGTGTTGCAGTTTCAAATTTACGCTAGAGCTATAGTTCTTATAACTAAACATAATCACAAAATTTCGACTAGTTTCATAAAGAATAACAAAAAGATATGATCGATTAAATACTGCAGAATGGATTTCCTTTGACCGCGATATCACCTGGATGTTTTGCAAGGGTCGTTATGCTGTTTTATAGGCTGCAGCTGGAATAAAATGTTCTCTGAATGACGTGAATGTTCGAAAATATATAAATTCTTAGAATTTCTAAAACAATCACCCAGCCTAGAATGACCTAATTAGAAATATCTTTGGAAAATATATTCGGAGTTAGTGCCATTTTAGTGCACGGCTCATTACCCAATCTCCCTTTCCAAATGTGCTCGAAAATGTATAAAATACAACGACTAATGAGGCTATATTGACCAAAAAGTAGTTTCATAGCAAGCAACTAAAACTTTAGACCTTTTTCGAGACTAATAAGGTTCACGATCGTGTTTTTCAAAGGTTCATAAAACCTAGCATTCCCACGCGATGGATGTTTCAAACTGACTACACGCCATTTGCCGTTTCGGTTGGTCAAACAACACATGATAATGGCACGTGAATCGGCAGCCTGGTCCATCCTATCATCACACAGTTGCTTGTCTGGACGCCTTGCATCGTAAAATTTTAAGCTTGGATTCGGAAATTGTGATATATTCTTGGAATTCCAAGCACTCAAAGTAAACACCAGTCGGTTAATATGGTCAGGTATCGATTTAATTGACACCTCAATGGTGTGATGGCCCAATCTCTTTTCATCATCCATGACATCGCCAGAATGGGTAACTGCCGAGCATATACCTTCTTTTTTGCGAAAGTCAACCACTTGAACGACTTCTATACCTTGGAAAAGTAGTACTGAGGCATCTAAATAATCTCTTCCGCTTTGGGGATATCCCCAGAAAAGATCAAAAATGACATTATCGTAATCTTCTGGTATCTCATATAATAACACCAGCAGATATATCGTGCTGTTTGGCGGGATATTGTAGTCCTTTAATTTAAGATCATCATTCTGCCTTGTAGTCTATAAAATAAAGCGTGCATCATTATACTAAAACACGAGGCTTTAAAACTGGCTTTAGTGGACTGATATAGATCAACATGGAAATTGCTCCCTGTTGGCTAGCGAAAATTATTACGCCTTGGTACAGGCCTGCGCTGTGTCAAAATGTCTTAAATGTAGCCTGTAGGATAAAATATAGATAAACCTATGACATTGATAGTACGCCAGTGTTATCAAAAGTACAACATGAAATCCAGAAAGATATTTCCAAAAAACTGGCCTGGTTCTAATAAACACATATATGGGAACTAAAATAAAATCAAGACATGAATATAAACATGTAAATATAGGAATACCTCTAACTCTATGTCGTTATACAACAAGCATTGCTTTTTATGCGGAGTTTTTAAGTCTTTTTCAACATTTTTTTTCAGATCGATAATGGTTTGGTTCGGGTTATAGTCAATAGTTGTATACTTTCCAGAAAGAGTGGTTATATATATGTGGGATTTCGACCCCTCGTCAGACGATTGAATAATTGCTTCGTTACAGTTAACTGCATCGATTGCGGGGAAAAGAAACTCCAAAGACTCCAGATATTGTTGGTATTGTGTGTTGTCTTCTGCTACTCCAGTTTCACATTGGGAACACTTTTGGTGAACTCGCACAGACGCTATTGCACACTACAATAAAAACAGATACAATTATCATGCAGCTAGTGTTGAAAATAGGAAACAAGATGGGGCTGTCTGAAAAAAAGATACTATGTAAGTTGCTATTACTAGGCTCTAAATAAAAATGAATACGTTTACATACTAATTTCGTCACTGATATTGTAACATGTGCATTTCTAATTCAATGTGTGCAGGTCTAAAAGTATTTGTGCAGTTGAAAAAGTACGAACTTTCAAGATAGTACAAAACATTTCTTCCTTCGTACTATACTAACGTTAAAGCATGTTCTCAACTTTTTAATGCGACTACTGAATATGGCGAATATGGTGCATGTATAAAATTAAACAGTGAAAACAAGCGTAATCTATTAAACTTGTTAAATCGGAACGCGTGCATGCGACTACAAATTTATTATTTTATTTTTAATTCTTGCTTCTCACTACTGCATGCTGTTCTGCAGTGCCAAAGCTTTTCTCGTACTGATCAGCGATATTCGCAATGCCGGATGCTTTAGAGTTTTTCGAATGCAAAGGAAATTCGTTGATGGCCTGCCTGTGAAGTACCTGGTTATACAAGCAGATTGGCTGAGTGCAGTGTCGACAGCATTAATCTAAGCTCATAGCTAAGTTTAAATTTACATCCCTACAGTGATACGTGCAGATTTAATCAGATAATTCATTCAGGCTTTTGTCTATTCAAATCGAATGGTCTTTAGTTAATATATAAATAAATACTCTTCTAAAAATGTGTTTGCGATTGTGCATATTATAGATATGGCTTTAATTTAGCGTGGAATAGACGTCATCCAACAGGGCTGACTCACGTTAATAGACCACTCCGTTAATGCAACCAAAATATTTTGGCTACACGGTGGTCGTATCATTACTATTTACTGGGCTCCACTGTAATCGTGTCGAGTTAATACTTACCCTAAGACAATGCAGCAATGGATGTTCAGTACACTCATCTGTGAGATGTTCGTGTGGAAACTCTTCAGATAACTTGTTTTCATGACAACAATGGCAAATCATTGCTTGCTTTCTCCGTAATATATGGGCTCCGACGTTATATATTCGCATATATAGAGAGAATGAAAGTTAAATAATCCAATATTTTTTATGCGGTTTCCAAGTATTAAAGATATTTCTGGAACAATTAAAAATTGCGCCCTGCAGGTTTTAAAAAGTTTTAATTACTTTCACAGTTAGCAAACGGAACTAATTGCATGAACATTTCCGTATGAAACTAAATTTAAAACTATATATAGGCAAATTTGTCAGTACAGCTAGAAGAAGCATGCAGTAAAATTGGAAACTTAATTTGTAAAATTGGATAGTTTAGTTGCAAAATATTCCATGTTTAATATTTAACATTCTTCGAAGAAGAAAGAAATTGAAATGCAGTGTTGTAGCTATATTAAATATTTCTGTATAATAAGGAATTACGCCCTGCAGACTTTGAATAATAGCACCACGTACACATGCACGGCAGGTAATTTGTCTTTTCTCTTCTATAATCAGCAGAGTGAAACTATCGATGCAAAATGTCAAAGCTACAATGGAAAACGAAAGCAGTTGCTTAACAAGTGCATGAACGCAGTTAAAGCTGATTTTGATTCTTACGATTGTCTCTTTTCATTTGGCTTTTTAAAGATACGCAACAATTTTACATCAGCTGTATAGAGTGGCTACTGTTTATAAATTTCACAAAACAAGAGACTTTACTCAAACAATATTCAAAATAGGTAAGAGCCCCCGCTGACTTTAAATGCAATTAGAACACTTTCGGTTCATCAATATCAAAGTCAGTTAACAGTATGCGTGGACTTGTGGAGAGGCAAAGCTTGGTCTAATCAATCTCAATGGCGCCCTCTATGCTTCACGCTGAAACTTGAGGTATTCAATTTTCTTATCGCTTTCCGAGTTTACCAGTTAATTACAGGATTAGACCTAAATCGCTACTGAGTCTTACTGTGTTAAAAAATCATTGGTCATTAGAAAGGATTAAATGCATTTAGATTTTAGAGAGGCAATTTCCATGTACAAACATGTAAAGAAAATGTAATTTAAATTCTTTCTCAATGTTGTATAGGACGGTTTTGTTTTCGACTTGTATAGAGAACTTCAACTCGAGTCCAAGGTATGCACATTGCGTGCGTGTTGAATTTGTTGTTTATTACATGTATTGCGAGAAATATATTGACACGGCCCTGCATGAAAAGTTATATGCTCATTAGTTTCAAAACCTTCTTAGTAATAAAAACTATCGAAACATGCTGTTGTTATTAAATCAGAAAGCTGGGCGCTCCAAATGACTACAAGTTCTGCCAGTGTATTAGTGTTGCTTTAACAGTCATCTCGGAGATTCTGAAAGGCACTGAGTTCCTTGTTTCTTTTAAAAATCTACAAGGCTGAAAGAAATTTTGCTACTAATATTAAATGATCTTATTTCGAGATTTTTGGAATATATACATTTGCATGCTATTGAATGCATTTACAAAAGTTATATTTATGTGGCTCAACAATACACTGTCATACTGAGATATGATAACTTTTAAGATAACTTTTTTTCATGACAAAAATAGCAAATCATGACTGTGCATGCCTTCTTTATTGTAATAAAAAAGCTAGGATTTTATAAATTCGTAATGCAGTGGCGAGAATGAAAGTAAAAGAATTCAATCTATGCACAGTTCTATTATACAGATATTTCTAGAACAATTAGAAGTTGCGCCCTACCGACAAAATAGATAATAATTTGCATTCGTTGTCATGAAAGCATTTTTGAAATATTGAACTTTCTTAAGGTAAAAAGGCTTAAAGTCCGATATTAGGAAACAAATACGAATTACGTTTTAATAGAATGATGATGATAAATACTTTAGTCAAAATGAAAGTTGTGGCTTCAGTAACAACGGTTAAAGCTGAATTTTGATCTTATTATTCCTTGTTAATTTTAAAAAAATGTTATTGATACAAAGACATTCATTTCGGCAAAAGGGTCACTATTGTAGCAGCATTACTTTAACAGTCATTTATCGGGAAAAATAACCACCTTAAATTTTCCTGACGTGACTATATGAAAACTGTCCGATTAATAATGAATAGAGTGCAATTTGGTGTGAAATCGATCAAACGCATGTTACAAAATCGCGCGACTGTGAAGTGGAATATTTCGTAATTTAAACAAACATGTTTGTTAGCGCACTTTGCAGGGGTGGCGGAACAGGAGGGCTAGAGTGCTCTCCCCCTAAAAGTAAGTAAACGGGGGCTTAGTCCCCTGGAATAAAACACCAGAAGCGGAAAACATTTATACAAATTACGAAGTTGCCAAATTACTGCTCGCCAGCCAAAATACAAAATGAAATATCCTAGTATCATACCGCATTATGATGAAGCGAATGTAAATTGATATTCTTTCGTCCAGCATGTATATCTTTGATAAAAATTGCCAGATTTTATATTGTTTATATTATTTTGCGATCGCCATCTTGTTTAGAAATTATTTTGAGAATTGAAGAGATACTTCTTGTAGAGTTATGTCATAAGATATTAAAGATATCCCCTCTTATCCAAGCCAAATAACCAATTACCCAAATTTATTCCAAAAACCAAAACATTGCTGTAGTATGGTCTATTGTAATTGTCCCCCAGCGTCGCTAGCTGCAGGCCATATCACCCTAATCGGGAACCTGCGCACAGGTAAGTTGCTAGTTATTATTATCAAGAAAGCGATCAAAATGCTAGCAAACGCTTCCCTCATCTTTACGTTCATTATGCATATATACAGCCGCACACGCCGAGCACAGTAAGCCTACACCGGCTACCCCAAGTAAAAGATCTAGAGCGGTTTTGAAATGGGCTGTTCTGTGTTCCTCCTGCTTTCAACATGCGACCTATAGTTCGGTATATTGTTCATTTTTATTATTAAGAACATTTACGACACAAAATTTGCATAGCTGGGCTGGCTACGCCGCTGTGAACGACGCGACCATAACGCCTAGTAGGCGTCTTGTTGATAATATGCTCAACAGCATGATCTAAACATGAAAATAATTGATACGTATTGGCCTTTGTGATTATTTGAGAAATGCAGAAATAAAAATTAAGTGATGGAGTTTCAGACTTTCCTAATTGATTCTAACCCACGATTTTAAATATTTACATAGAATAAAAACTGCTGATGCAAGCATTGCATTTATCTTATGTTGTGCTATTGTTTCAACCAGAATGTATGTATGTACGAGCAAATGTCAAAGCTACAATGGAAAACGAAAGCAGTTGCTTAACAAGTGCATGAACGCAGTTAAAGCTGATTTTGATTCTTACGATTGTCTCTTTTCATTTGGCTTTTTAAAGATACGCAACAATTTTACATCAGCTGTATAGAGTGGCTACTGTTTATAAATTTCACAAAACAAGAGACTTTACTCAAACAATATTCAAAATAGGTAAGAGCCCCCGCTGACTTTAAATGCAATTAGAACACTTTCGGTTCATCAATATCAAAGTCAGTTAACAGTATGCGTGGACTTGTGGAGAGGCAAAGCTTGGTCTAATCAATCTCAATGGCGCCCTCTATGCTTCACGCTGAAACTTGAGGTATTCAATTTTCTTATCGCTTTCCGAGTTTACCAGTTAATTACAGGATTAGACCTAAATCGCTACTGAGTCTTACTGTGTTAAAAAATCATTGGTCATTAGAAAGGATTAAATGCATTTAGACTTTAGAGAGGCAATTTCCATGTACAAACGTGTAAAGAAAATGTAATTTAAATTTTTTCTTAATGTCGTATAGGTCGGTTTTGTTTTCGACTTGTATAGAGAACTTCAACTCGAGTCCAAGGTATGCACATTGCGTGCGTGTTGAATTTGTTGTTTATTACATGTATTGCGAGAAATATATTGACACGCCCCTGCATGAAAAATTATATGCTCATTTGTCTCAAAACCTCCTTAGTATAATAAAAACTATAAAAACATGCTGTTGTTATTAAATCAGAGAAAGCTGGGCGCTTCAAATGACTACAAGTTCTGCCAGTATAGTGTTGCTTTAACAGTCATCTCGGAGATTCTGAAAGGCACTGAGTTCCTTGTTTCTTTTAAAAATCTACAAGGCTGAAAGAAATTTTGCTACTAATATTAAATGATCTTATTTCGAGATATTTGGAATATATACATTTGCATGCTATTGAATGCATTTACAAAAGTCATATTTATGTGGCTCAACAAAAATACACTGTCGTACTGACTAAGATCAGACTCATTCATCGTCAATCGAAAAAACTGGTAGCATTCATTATTATTATAAAAAGAATGCCCGACAATCCAGTTTTATATTCCTTCCTCAGTTCAAACTTACCCCAAGACAATGCAGCAATGTATGCTTATTACACTCATCTGTAAGATGTTCAATTGGAGGAAGCGCTTAAGATAACTTATTTTCATGACAAAAATAGCAAATCATGACTGTGCATGCCTTCTTTATTGTAATAAAAAAGCTAGGAACTTTATAAATTCGTAATGCAGTAGCGAGAATGAAAGTAAAAGAATTCAATCTATGCATGCACAGTTCTATTACAGATATTTCTAGAACAATTAGAAGTTGCACCCTGCCGACAAAATAGATAATAATTTGCATTCGTTGTCATGAAAGCATTTTTGAAATATTGAACTTTCTTAAGGTAAAAAGGCTTAAAGGCTTAAAGTCCAAGATGACAGACATAAAATTCCTATTCACAGGCAAATATTATATCTATCACAGAAACTGTATGCATCATTGCATATTGCATTTTCGCAGATTTTGAACTATTTTTTCTACATATGTAACTATGCCGTAAAACTTGCGGATTGTGTTTCCACTTAGTTATTTTTTAACTTTTAAAATTTAGCCCCCCCAAAAATGTGTCGCCGCGGACGCCGCCCCTGGCACTTTGTTAACATTTTGAAATGTAATGTTTCTTAAAACTGCTGATGTACTGTCTATAACATATTATTGGTTTACTATCTACTCTGCTTCTAAGTGAATATTAGAAATCCTGCTCGAAAAAATCGAAACATGGGAAATTTGAGCAATTTCTAAATTAGCAGGCCTTAGGGGCTGTTTAAATGGAAGCCTATCGAGATCTCGCCACGAATACATTTCCCAATAGAAACGTCTGTGCGTTTATATGGACAGGCAGGCTGGCCCGCTACTTGACGAGATCCCGCTTAGCGGGATGAAAATATTCTCATACAAACACTCCAAGCGGGCTGGCCCGGTTGCCGAGGTAGAACCAATTTTTGTAATTTTTATGTTTCTCAGCGTTTCTTTTTGTACTTTTGAACACTACATGATTAAAAACGAACAAACGGTGGCAACGTACTTTAATAGATACTGAAACTAATGTGATATGAACTTTAAAGCAAAGCCAATAAAGGCGTTGTAAATAATCTCTATCCGGAATGCTCTCATATAAACATAGGAAAAGTTTATCCCGTTTACCGGGCTGGCTAGCTTAGCGAGTCCGGCCCCCATATAAACAGCCTCTTAGATTTTTTTTAACCTATTAAGGCACACGATGCACAGAAGCTGCTGTAACTATTTCAAACATCAGTCCAGCGTATAGCAGTCTGACAATTTAGTCCAGATATGCTAACATTTTGTGTTTATTGACCACAATAATAATCAAATACTGAAAAAATGAATAGTTATTATAACCGCGATAACTTCGAAACGGTTCGAGCAATCGAAAAAATATACAGTGCTGACCTTTATTAAGAATTATTGTCATATGGCAATCGTCACTTCCGGTGAAATGGAGCTCAGTGATTGGCTAAGAATTTTCAGCGGTCAATTACTTTCCCGAAATGGACCAGAAACAGCGTTGCAAAAATAGTTAAACCTTTCTCCGGTAGGATTTCAAGTTTTGAAAACCTTCCTCAAAATGACGTCACGTCACTGAGTCAAGTGGCAACCAGCATAAAGAAATTGGTTCTTTGCCGGTCTGGAATCCCCCAGTAATGGACCGTTGCCGTAGTAGCGGTTCAACTCTCATATTTTTGAACAAAAACAAGCTTGCACTTTTATTTTTGACACGAAAAATATCGACGGAGAATGGACGAAGAAGGGCATTATTTGGTACATGTGAATATTATATTTATTCATCTTTGATTTTTGTTTATATTACTGTATCATTCTTATTTAACGTGTAAAAAACAAAGTTTTGGAAGCCACTTCAGTGCTTGCTTGCCGACTGGCTGGCGAAAGAGCCGGCAAGAATGCTGCAGCGCATCGTATAAATAAATAAACTAAATACTGTATGCCATATAATAAATCCCTTATTAACCGAATACGCTCGGTCCGTACTGGAGAAATATCAGACCTCGGTCTTTTATGTATAGACCTCGCTATCGCTCAGTCCGTACTGTCAATACCTCGTCTGATATTTTCCTAGTGCGGACCTCAAATTCGGTTAATAAGTGGTATATACTAATACGAATTCATGCCTTTCTTGTTCGCTTCAAGTAAGTAGTCCGATATTTCGCGGTAAAGACCTCGCGCTCGGTTAATTAATAAGAAGTTAAAAAACGAGAAGCGCTAAAATCGAGAAGCTTAGCTCGTATTCTCCCAACGTTCCCCATCGTGCATTATTATTACACCATAAAGGCACGCACGAAGAATTAAAGGGCAACGCAAAATTTATTTATTAGATCAAAAATGAAATTCCCTTTATCAACAAAAACAGCTCGGTTCGAACGGTTCGCTTTCAGCAAACAACTTCCCAGCACGAATTTGAGCTCTCCGAGTTTCTGATATTTTGCAAACCTTAATCTCTTTGCCGGCACCAACGCTTTGATTTTCGGAACTAGAGTCTTGCAAGTTAGAATTCTATGTTATATTTTTTAACTCATTTTGAGAAATTTTGGACTTTACTTATTGAATTTATAGTTTGTTTTCCTTTCAACAAGAGGTGGGAAAATTTTAAAAGCTATACAAGCGTGCATTACGGCCTCACAATGCACGCGCGTTGGCCAATCAAATTGCTCGTTCTATCCCACTTATATTATAACATTTAATGTATTTTGGGCGGTTTTTAGCTTTCGGATTTTATTTAGAGGCCGAGCAGAATATATGGTGATTTTTGTCCGTTCACAATTTAATCCAGAGCCAGATTTAAAGTGCCGTGTAACGGCCGCCGACATAAAAATAGAAAACTAAAAGGAGTTATATTTGCTAAACCCATGCATGTATTGTTGAAATATTCTTTCATGCCATTCTGCCTCAGCATTGGCAAAATCCAATCGATTAATCCAGAACTTTTCAACTTGTGCTACATCGTCCATAGGCGGCGCCGCTATGTGTTGATTTCAAACACTTTTGCGGCATAATTGAAATATCTTGTTATTGATGTAAGGCCGGCTTCTCGGGCGTCTGGTAAAAGACGGAACACGGAACACCAAAAATTGCTAAAACCTGAACATAAAAATTTAGTTATTCTCTCGTGTTTTACACTCGCATAAGCACAGAAATGTCTTTTATTCTCCTAGTAGGTTTATTAACAATACATATAACGTCATTCACATTTTATTCAGTTTATTCATGGAAAAGAAAGATAACAGGATTATCGCTTCAAAAAACACATTCCAGCCTGATACCGACGACAACGTTAGAGAAACTAACAATCAAACTACAATAACACATAGGGGTGATGGCCCAACCAAAGGTGAGGTGGGCCTGAGTTCAAACAAGGATAGTAAGTATACCCAGGCAGACGAAAGTCAATTTGAACCAGAGGGGGCAAGAGGAGAGGATCCGTTAATGCCACAACATGGAAGAAATGGCCCAGCTATAGATCAGGCAGGCCATACTGAAAAGATCAATACTAAGAATAGGGAAGAAAGAGAAAGTAAAGGTGATCTATGTGGGACAAGACAAGGGGAAGACCTGTTTGAGGGACAATATGGCGATGATTACCAAACCAGAAATGAGACAGGCCAGCATGAAAACAAGAATTTCAAGAATAAAAAAGTAGACGAAAGTCAAAGTGAGCCGGGTAAGACAAGGGAAGGAGATGATCGGTTAGAGGGACAACATGGAAAGAATGGACCAACCAGGGATGAGGTAGGCCAGAGTGAAAACAAGATTGTCAGAAATAACCTATCAGATAAAAGTCAATTTGAACCAGAGGGGACAAGAGGAGATGATCGGTTAGAGGGACAACATGGAAGGAATGGACTAGCCATAGACGAGACAGCTCAGAGTGAAAAGATCAATACTAAGAATAGGGGAAAGGAGGAAAGAAAAGGTGATCAATGTGGGACAAGACAAGAGGGAGACCTGTTTGAGGGACAATATGGGGATGATTACCAAACCAGAAATGAGACAGGCCAGCATGAAAACAAGAATTTCAAGAATAACCAAGTAGACAAAAGTCAAGGTGGACCAGAGGGGAGAAGTCAAGAAGATGATCTGTTAAAAGGACAATATGGGGATGATGACTCAACCAGAGATGAGGCAGGCCAGAGTGAAAACAAGAATTTTAAGAACAAAAAAGTAGACAAAAGTCAAAGTGAACCGGGTAAGACAAGTCAAGCAGATAATCGGTTAGAGGGACAACATGGAAAGAATGGACCAACCAGAGATGAGGCAGGCCAGAGTGAAAACAAGAATTTTAAGAATAACAAAGTAGACGAAAGTCAAAGTGAACCGGGTAAGACAAGGGAAGGGGATGATCGGTTAGAGGGACAGCATGGAAGGAATGGACTAGCCATAGACGGGGCAGGTCAGAGTGAAAAGATCAATACTAAGAATAGGGAAAAGGAGGAAAGTAAAGGTGATCTATGTGGGACAAGACAAGAGGGAGACCTGTTTGAGGGACAATATGGCGATGATTACCAAACCAGAAATGAGACAGGCCAGCATGAAAACAAGAATTTCAAGAATAAAAAAGTAGACGAAAGTCAGAGTGAACCGGGAGGGACAAGGGAAGGAGATGATCGGTTAGAGGGACAACATGGAAAGAATGGACCAACCAGGGATGAGGTAGGCCAGAGTGAAAACAAGATTGTCAAAAATAACCTATCAGATAAAAGTCAATTTGAACCAGAGGGGACAAGAGGAGATGATCGGTTAGAGGGACAACATGGAAAGAATGGACCAACCAGAGATGAGGCAGGCCAGAGTGAAAACAAGAATTTTAAGAATAACAAAGTAGACGAAAGTCAAAGTGAACCGGGTAAGACAAGGGAAGGGGATGATCGGTTAGAGGGACAACATGGAAGGAATGGACTAGCCATAGACGAGACAGCTCAGAGTGAAAAGATCAATACTAAGAATAGGGGAAAGGAGGAAAGAAAAGGTGATCAATGTGGGACAAGACAAGAGGGAGACCTGTTTGAGGGACAATATGGGGATGATTACCAAACCAGAAATGAGACAGGCCAGCATGAAAACAAGAATTTCAAGAATAACCAAGTAGACAAAAGTCAAGGTGGACCAGAGGGGAGAAGTCAAGAAGATGATCTGTTAAAAGGACAATATGGGGATGATGACTCAACCAGAGATGAGGCAGGCCAGAGTGAAAACAAGAATTTTAAGAACAAAAAAGTAGACAAAAGTCAAAGTGAACCGGGTAAGACAAGTCAAGCAGATAATCGGTTAGAGGGACAACATGGAAAGAATGGACCAACCAGAGATGAGGCAGGCCAGAGTGAAAACAAGAATTTTAAGAATAACAAAGTAGACGAAAGTCAAAGTGAACCGGGTAAGACAAGGGAAGGGGATGATCGGTTAGAGGGACAGCATGGAAGGAATGGACTAGCCATAGACGGGGCAGGTCAGAGTGAAAAGATCAATACTAAGAATAGGGAAAAGGAGGAAAGTAAAGGTGATCTATGTGGGACAAGACAAGAGGGAGACCTGTTTGAGGGACAATATGGCGATGATTACCAAACCAGAAATGAGACAGGCCAGCATGAAAACAAGAATTTCAAGAATAAAAAAGTAGACGAAAGTCAGAGTGAACCGGGAGGGACAAGGGAAGGAGATGATCGGTTAGAGGGACAACATGGAAAGAATGGACCAACCAGGGATGAGGTAGGCCAGAGTGAAAACAAGATTGTCAAAAATAACCTATCAGATAAAAGTCAATTTGAACCAGAGGGGACAAGAGGAGATGATCGGTTAGAGGGACAACATGGAAGGAACGGACTAGCCATAGACGAGACAGCTCAGAGTGAAAAGATCAATACTAAGAATAGGGGAAAGGAGGAAAGAAAAGGTGATCAATGTGGGACAAGACAAGAGGGAGACCTGTTTGAGGGACAATATGGGTATGATTACCAAACCAGAAATGAGACAGGCCAGCATGAAAACAAGAATTTCAAGAATAACCAAGTAGACAAAAGTCAAGGTGGACCAGAGGGGAGAAGTCAAAGAGATGATCTGTTAAAAGGACAATATGGGGATGATGACTCAACCAGAGATGAGGCAGGCCAGAGTGAAAACAAGAATTTTAAGAATAACCAAGTAGACAAAAGTCAAAGTGAACCTGGTAAGACAAGTCAAGAAGATGATCGGTTAGAGGGACAACATGGAAAGAATGGACCAACCAGAGATGAGGCGGGCCAGAGTGAAAACAAAAATGTCAGAAATAACCTATCAGATAAAAGTCAAGGTGAATCAGAGGGGACAAGAAGAGATGATCTGTTAGAGGGACAACATGGAAGAAATAGACCAGCTAGAGAGAGAGATGAACTGTTAAAAAGAAAAAATGGGGGCGATAGCTCAACCAGAGATGAAGCTGGCAAGAGTGGAAACAGCAATACAAAGTATTCAAGCCCAGAACAAATTTTTACCCGAGTAACTCCGCCATTGCATATACTAGAAACTCCAAAAACCAAAAATACGGTAAGAAACATAGAAATTATAAGTTATAACTTCTAAGTAACACTATAGGGGCATGAATGGTCATTCATTCTTTCTTAATAAAATAGACGAAATTTTAAGCTATAGTTGAACAATCTCAGTTGCATTCTGTTTTTTCTCTTCTAAATAACAGGATTATAATTTGAAAACCTAAAATGTGGAAGTACAAACTACTACGTCAGTTGCAAGGGCCCAATATGATTTAGAGCCAGTTTACTTCGTCAGATTGCCATGGAGCAAGTTATCTGTTGTCTTATGTAAACAGGCCCTTATGAACCCTCTTATCTTAGATCTTTCAGTCTCCATTTTTGATCAGTTTAAATTTAATGATTCTTACTGCATGGTGTCATAGGTTACAACAAAAATAATTTCGACTGGCCCGTAAGTATGATGCGAACTAACTATATCCATATCAGGCGTCTTTAAAAAAAGCCATTCGTTTGACTTGATATGTTTGACTTGATATTGTATATTATCAAGAAGACAATAGCGGAACATACTATGTAAAGGGGAAAAATTACATTACTGCAGTGTAAGAATACAGGTATCGTGAGCCCCGTTTACACTACATTAAATTTGCTCTAAAATTCGTCCCCGCGTTCAGTTTATTAGTGCCCAAGGTACAAATACAAAGGACAAGTACGGATGAAATTGGTGCGGGTAGCCGTGCCAATAAACGGAGCTATACTATACGATATTCGTCTACATGTAGCTCTTAATTTATGAATGTGGAATCTTCATTGTGAAAAAGCTGATCCACAATAATTCTGTACTGTATTGAAAACTCTTTCTTAGATAATTGTTAGCGTGGCATAAAGGACATTCAACTTCCAATACACAGCTGATTAAAAACGATTAATATATGTCTTCTACTCTCTTTTAGATTTCCTTCTATCTTTTGATACCTGAAGAGGTTTCCGTCATTGGTGTATGCATGAAAATCGGTACTGACGAAAATGTACATCTTTTCCAAGTTCCAAATGAAAAAAAAATCTGGTATTGTAATATCATATTTAATAAAGATCCGATAAAGATTCCGAAGAATTCAAAGTATAAATACAAAATATTCCTTGAAAGTTCCACCGGGGATGATACGACACAAAGTGGTCTGAAAACTGCAGCATCAATCTGCACAGAAAAAGATGTAAGAAATGTGGAGTGGCCAGTTCAGTTCGATGTGTTTAAATTTCCCGACAACAGACACCGAGAAGGTGAAACCTTGCCATATTCAGTTAAATTTTACCTAATGTGGCTCCTGCAACATGTCAATGAGTCAACATTACCAGAAATTCTAAGCAACATCACAGGTTTAGATGTCAAGTCACTATCAACAATAGACGTGCAGGAGTTGGAAGGTAGTGTTCTTAAACATGCTTTAGAAACTACCACTACAGATACACAGAGATTGTACTTGTGCATGGTCCTGAGTCATGTCAATCGTACTAGCAAAAAATTGAATCTAAAAGAGAATAAGTTGGCGTGCGATCGTTTGCTTCAGGGTCTGGTCCTTGATTCCAAATTTAATTCAATACTAGATACCACTCTTTTAGCAGAAATTGCCATTATTTTGGTAGAGAACTGTAGTAGTCCGGGATGGCTGACCCTTGCAGCATATTTTTATCCCTATTTTGGAATCAAATATTTCCTTGACAAAAAAATAGAATCTGAGCATCTAACTCACACGTACGAAACCGAGGAATACAAAAAAATGGTCACAATGCTCTTTTCAAGTTTAAAAGAGGAAAACCGCGAAGAAAACAAAAAAATGTTGAGCTCGGTGCTAAGAAGCGCTCAAACTTTGCTCGATGCTTTAAATCTATGTAGCCGAACTGAAATGTCAAAATTCTTTGAAAATGATAAAGACAAGATTGATTTTTTCGTCGAATTCTTCTCTCAGGCACAGAGAAAAACTAAAAAAGGTTTAAGAGTTAAACTATGGGCATTTTATCACATGCCAAAAATACTCTGTGAGAGAATTTTCTATCAGTTGCACACGTTATTGCTAGAATACGTCCAGTTAGAAGATGAGACGAGAGAAGAAAAAGACAAAGACGTTGTGCTAAAGTTATTTCTTGCAATAATGGATAAAGATAAAGATGAATTCACAGAATTGTTATTTGAACTTTCAAAATCAAAGTCAATTCTTACACAAGATCTACTGCTTAACGTTCTACAAAGCAAAGATTTCAAGAGAGGCTGGCATGATATTCCAGACCAAAAAAAGGTAAACATTTGTGGAGACTGGATTATCTCCCGAGTGAGGAATATTGAACGCAGTCTTGATGGCCTAAATTGCGTTAAAGTGGCTTATGAATCCTTGGAAGCTATAATGAGATGTTCTCTGAATGTTTCATTATCCAGCAGACTGGCTCAAAACGTTTTGATGCATGTTGAAGGGGATATTTTTCAAAACATAAAATCATATGATGTTCTCGAAGCCTTTACACATATAAACAAGTGTTCACCTGCTGTTCAAGAGTGCTACATTTCCCATGTGCAGAAAGTATTGAGTACACAGCTAATCAGAAATTCACAAGGATTATTTAGAGAATTCCTAGGCAACAGGTATGTTTTACAATTTTTCGAAATAACTTAAGATTATTACGGAAGTTCCTGATTTCGCAACTCTGTCAGTTTTTGTAAAATATCTAACAATTGTTACATAAATATCAAAATTAAAAGTGATAAGTGATTCTGTGATATATAAGTGATAAGTGATTATAAGTGAAATTATATGGAAAAAAATGCATAAGTGACTATTTTAAATAAAGCGTTCTAACGCTTATATTTCCTTAACTGATATATTTCCTATATAAATTAGAAACTGTTGTGAGTGTTTTATTCACAAATAAACGCACACGCTGACCATACAATGGCCAAGAAATTTCAATATTGAGATATCGAAATTTCGAGTTCATTTTATGGTTAGCGCATGCGTTTACTTGTAACAAAATACGAACATAATGTCTCTAACACTTTTAATATGCTGAACCTCTTAAAATGTTGATTGATTGCTGCATTGAAAATCTAAGCTTCGTTGCAGGCTTTCATTTTTGAATAAACCATGATTTTCATGGGTTATTGCGAATAAATTATGACTCCCATGATCTGTCGCCAGGCGATAAGAAACCACGTGATTGATTTTGACCAATCGCGTGAGTAGATTTAGGCCAATGCACGAAGATTGTATATTAAATTATCATACATAATAATATTTTGGAACATATTCTAAAACTGAATCTGAAAAAAGTTGTTTCTAGACCGCTTATTGTTGTGTTTATATAGTGTTGGCGAAAGAATTTTGTTCTGTATCTTGGGAAGAATAGAAGTACCAAATGTTGAAAGAGCCGAAGTGAATGAAGAAAATATCATCAAAATCCTCGATTGGTATGATGTTTGGATCAACTTACTGAAAACTAACGGTAAATTAGTTTATTGACGCAAAAAGCCGCCGTATATTACACATTTTTAACCATTTTTTTTTCTGACAAAGACAAAATCACACTCCCATATGATCAAAAATTGCGGATGGGAATCGTATAAAAAATGAAATGCATAGACAATTACACGGCAACTCATACAATAATTAAGGTTTATGGATTACAAATTAAAATAAGCAATGCTACAATATTATACAAGATTTTAAACACGATTATTGAAACAGGGCACACTTGATCATGCACCAACATCCGAAAACCCCGTGGATTTCTGCAAATAATTATGCAAAGTTGTGTGTTATCTTTACGAAAACTCGAATCTCTTTTAGAAGAGAATGGGGACTCCGAAAAATATGAACCCGGAAAAAGAATTTGCAAAGAACTAGCAGAACGCATTAAAAATGGCAATATAACCACCGATTTCATAAAAGTGCTCGACAAAGAAAAAGATAAAGTTTCAAAATTATGTGCCGGAGTGTCTGATGAGCAAGAGCAGTTTTTTGTGAATAAAATCACTGAATTAATGAGCGTTCTGAATGAATCTTCCAAAAAAGTTCACTCTCTAAAGTCCGCGATTGACTATGGAAAGGAAATAGCAACTGATAAGACTATTGGAACCAAAAATATTGATAAGGCACTCGACGACCTAAAGAAAACCTGGCGTACCAGAGAGATGAAGGAATTACAGGATGATAAGTTTTGGGAAACATATTCGCTCCTAAAACCAGCCCAAGCATTGCAACCATTGGTGAATTCCCAGTTTTTTAGAGTTGTGGCGAGAAGAGAACTCGAAAAGTTAACGACAGAATTTGACGATTTTTATGCACTGATTACGTTCCTTGCTACAAAAGCCAAAGAAGAATTCTTAAATATGTGGAATGAGCCCAAAACACTTATGGTAGAATCAATGAGCAAGTTACTTAACAACTTGAATGAAAACGAATTGGATAACGAGCTAAAGCTTTTGGAAGAAAACCTTGGGGAAACGCTGTTTCAGAATGTCAACATGTACACCAAAGAGTGTTCCAAGTACCCATATACTTTGGAACGGGTAAAAGCTATAATAGGCATACATCAAATCTTCAAATTAGCAGACAGTTCAGGTAAAATGACGGAAATTGTAAAGTTTCAAACGGATTTAGAGAAAATTGCTAAGATGACCTTAGGCAGTTTACATGAACTCATGGAAAACACAAAACAATTAAAGCCAATATTCAATCTTGAAGACGCCGGTGATTGTGTGGTTGAAGAGTTGTCGCGGTCAAGTGAATTGGTTAATTTCATCGAAGAAATAGCTGACGATGATATTCGTTTTCTTATCGATGCCGTTGAAGAACATTTTGACCAGTTTATATCAGAATCGTCAGTTTCCGATCTTATCGAAGTCCATGGTTGTCTCAAACCTTTGATAAAGAAGAAGAAGGAAGGGAATTTAAATTTCCAGGGCCTCCTATGCATGTTAAAAGAATCTTCCATTGGTCATAAAGATATAGCAGGAAAGATTAAGCAGTGTAGTACTAATGTCAACAGCCTTCGTGGATTGTACATGAGCATTACCAACCGTGGTGAGATGACTAAAGAAGTAATTCGAAATTGCCTGAACAGAGGAGAATATTTGGTGTCGCAAAAAGATGGAAAATGTGAAATTAAGATGAGTTACGAACTTCAGAATAGAAGCAAGGATGTGAAGCATTATTCTTTGTCGGAACTATATGACTTACGAAGTCGTGCGCATCTTATTGCTATCTCTCATACAGCTAGATCTAGTGAGTCTAAAGAGTGCAGTGAGGATTCTATCAAAAGTACTGAGGCCAGTGATCAAGGAAAAAAACATACGCGCACTCACACAGACACACACAGGGAAATACAAACCAGTGAACATATCGATTTTGACGACTTCATACATCAGGTTAATCTGTTGACTGAAATTTCTACTCTTCTATTAAGACTGAATTCGTCTGGGTATGTGAAATATCGCGAACCGTTTTCGAAGATGATGAAGTCAACTATAGAACTTGAAGGGAACAGGGACAATTTGAAAGACGAGCTAGAAAACTGGGAAGAAGAGTTAGAACACGCACGTGGTAACTTCCACTTTCTTAACTACTACCACTCCGATCAAATCCTCACACTGTACGATTTTTTCAAAAATGGTTCGAAAGATAATTACCCAGATGTCCTTTCGTTACTAAAATTCGTCGATCGAACTATGACTACACAGCAATTGAAGAAGCATCAAGAGGGTCAGGAGTTGCCACACTCTGATTTGAATAAAAACCCGGCGGCGAAATTACTCTCAACTGTCGGTAAAGGTTTAGAAAAATTTTTTAGAAATTCGCAACATGTCATCAGAAAAATACCAGAATTTCACAAGCCAAAATTTGAAGTTACTCCGGGAGAAATTTTTGTTGCTGTTTTGGAGGCGGGAAGTCTAAAAACAGCAAAAGTCAGTGACGACGAGAGCACGTCAAAAATATTTCGAGAGTCGTATCAAACTGTTTTCTGCAGCTCCGAGACAACATGGAATGAAATACATCTTTTAATTCAAAGATGCTTCGCGCTTTCAAAATATCCCAATCATAAAATTATCTTTTGTATAACCAATGTTGAATTGCTACGAAATGAATTACAAGTTAGACTAGTTAGGGAAATTAAAGAGAAACAGAAATGCTTTCAAGGACGTGAGGGGAGTAAGAATAAAAACGCCTATTTTAAACTTGTACTAATATGTCGTAGTGGAGACAAACACCACATTGTCGAACAGTTTGCCCAATATACACAACACTTTGCAAGTATGACGGACCTTGTCGCCAGTTTGACGACAGAAGATACGAAAAATCAAAAGCATGGCAAACTGGAGGCCACAGTTAGAAAAGGAGAGATATTTGTTGCTAGTTTGAAACCGAATAGTCCATTAACGCCCAACGTCATCCTCGCCCTGTATGAAAACACGTCGAAGGCATTTCCAGAACCATCTCAAATTGTTTTCTGTAGATCCGAAACGAAGTGGGAAGAGATACAACTTTTGCTTAAAAGATGTTTCAAGCATCCAAAAGATCCGCGTCATGAATGCTTGTTCTGTATTGCATGTGTTGAATTGTTGCCAAATGAATTGCAATTCAAGATGGTTAATGAAATTAAAATGTCTGTCAACTCACCTGACTATAAACTTGCTTTGATTTGCCGTGGTGGCGACCATCACCACATTGTGGAGCAGTTCGCCCAATATACCCATCACATTACAGGTATGAGTGATTACACCTTCGGACAGCGTCTCAAAGCTGGTTGGCCTAATGTAAAAATGGTCACATCCACTCTTCCGGGTTTAGGAAAAACAGAACAAATAAAACACGAGGCACTTGACAAAAGCATGAACGTTGTTACATTTTCCATCACAGGTCCATTTGACCTGAGCAAACTCATCCAGCGTCTAAAAAAGCTCAAGGTTAAGAAATATCATTGTCTGCATCTGGATATTGGTGAACTGAGCGATCCGCTGTCGTTGGACACATTCTTATTTCAACTGATTGTCACAGGAATGGTTTCGGCTGAAAATCAGTTTTATCATCTACCAACAACACACGTTTATATTGAAATAGCCAATACAATGAAAGATAAGCTCCGGGAATCGATGATGATATCAAAATATTTCAACCGTATTCACTTGGAATGGCAACATTACAAGGATTATTTAGTCACCGATGCAATAACAAGTAATGCTCAAATTGTTTGCCAGTACTTAGAAATCTTCGATCAAGGCTGTATTGATTCGAAAGACGTTCTTTTCAGCGAATCTAAAACACCCGAACCACTGAAAGCATGTCGTTGTCAAAAGCTTTTGGCAAAACATTTCTCGTCAAAAGACGATACCACCTTTACAACGCTCCAAACGTTTCTACAAGTACTGGCTAAACAACTTCTGAAATTTTCTAGGAGTGCTTTTTTTAAAGTTGCAAATCTTAAATCTATGGTGGGTGATGAACAGAGTATCCGAAATATTCTTTTTAAGGCTCTTTTCGATGTCTCAAAGGAGTTCGCATCTCGCGCCATAACAACTTGTAGCTCAAAAGGAATAAAAAATAATGCTCAAAATCAGCCAGCAAGCGTTTCTAAATCTGCCAAAAATATGGTTCAACGTGTACAAGGGATGACAAAATGGAAAGACAACAACCATTTGGTGGTCGTGTTTCATGGTCTTTACTCCCAAGCAATCACCGCTTTTTATCGCGACAAATCTGCCGTCCCACTGAGCGTTGAAAAATTACTAAAGAGTCAAGACGTCACAGGAAAAGAGCTTGATGACTTCAAAGAATTTACTCAAGAACAGTTGCAGAAGAAGTTAGAGATGATAGCTCTCGCGAAACCTGTGAGAGGAGAAAGAAAATTATTCCCAGGTTACGCTCTGACTCCAGATAACATCTTGAAAATGATATTGATCATATTACGGGTCCGTGCCAGTGTTCCAGTTATCATCATGGGGGAGACGGGTTGTGGAAAGACAAGTCTCGTTCAATATTTGGCGAATACTTGCGGAGTGCGGTGCTGCACATTTCACTTGCATGCTGGACGTTCTGAAGAAGAAATAATCAAATTTATTGAAGAAGTGGAAAGTTATGCCAAAAACATCAATGAGCAAGTATGGGCTTTCTTGGATGAAATAAACACATGTGATCATCTAGGTTTGATCAACGACATAATGTGTCATCGTACCTTGTTGGGATATTCGTTACCCAAGAATCTTGTTTTCCTTGCAGCTTGTAACCCGTACGTGTTGCGTTCTGAAGAACAAATCAAGACAGGTGGCCTTGAAGTCAAGAATATAATTGATGAGTATTCTGGTCTTGTTTATCGTGTCCATCCACTACCCGAAGCTATGATTGACTATGTTTGGGATTATGGCTCCTTGTCCCCAACAGATGAACGAGATTATATTAAGAGGATGGTGAGATGCAAACCAGAAGAGGATCAAAGAATGTTAGTTAATTTGCTATTTGAATCTCAACAGTTTATTCGGAAAGCTGAAAACAACAACTTTTGTGTCAGTTTACGTGATGTGCATCGATGCATTCACCTGATCGGCTGGTTTGAAGAAAAAATAAAGGAACGAGAAAAGGTAGATGCAACACCCCCTGAGAAAGAGTGCCCCAAAAACATTCATAAGTGTTACCACCTGTCAGAAGGATATGACGTGAAGCTCAACAGCGTTGTTCTTGCTCTTGCGCATTGTTATTTGTCCCGAATGCCAACTGCAAAATTGCGCAAGAATTACAGAGAACAAATGATTAAATTGTTAACTAGTAATGGAAAAACAATGAGCACAAAAGATAATTCAGATATTTTTGAAGCAATTGTACGTATGGAAGAAGACGATATTTTGAATCGAATGGAACTCCCCGCAGGAACAGCAAGAAACGCCGCCCTACGTGAGAATGTTTTTGTAATGCTTGTTTGCATTTTAAACCGCATTCCTATCTTCGTAGTTGGAAAGCCTGGCTGCAGCAAGTCATTATCCATTCAATTGATCCGAAGCAACCTACGCGGACGTGATTCACAAGATCCTTGGTTCAAAAAGTTGCCTCAGCTTTACGTCGTCTCATATCAAGGTTCAGAATCTTCCACGTCAGAAGGAATCATGAAAGTGTTTGAAAAAGCACAAAAATACAAAGAATACAACAAAGATGGAAATATCTTGCCTGTCGTTCTACTCGATGAAGTTGGATTAGCTGAAAATTCAAAATACAACCCTCTTAAAGTTCTACATAGCTTGCTGGAGCCTGGTGAAGGGAAACTTCCTGAAATTGCAGTTGTGGGAATTTCAAATTGGTCGTTAGATGCCGCAAAGATGAACCGAGCAATTCATTTGTCCAGACCTGAGCCTACCAAAGACGACCTTTACGAGACGGGGTATTCTCTACATTATTCTGTTAATGGAGATAGCAGTCATTGTTTGGCAAAGGGAGAAATTAAATGTTTAGCTGATGCCTATTTTGAATATCAAACACAACAAATATATTCTAATTTCCATGGTCTGCGCGATTACTATTCCCTGGTTAAAACAGTTTGCAGCAAAATTGAAGAAGTTAATGTTTCATTACAGCGCAACTTTGGTGGCATTCCTGATGAAGTAACCAATATTCAAAAAATCTTCCTCAACAAATTGGACAACACAACTTCCTGTGATATCATCCCAGTAATCCAGTTAATTCAAGCGAATCTTGAAGATCCCCACGCTCGTCATCTGATGCTTATAACAAGTGGAGATTCAGCCATTGGAATTTTGGAACAAAGTTGTGTTAACTCGAAGAAGGAAATCATCAAAATCTATGGCAGTCGTTTCGAGGAGGACCAGTCTGAAGAGTACAACTACAGAATTTTGAGTCGTATTATTCTTTGCATGGAGCGCAATTGCATCTTGATACTAAGAGATCTAGAAAGAATATATGGAAGTTTGTATGATATGCTAAACCAGAATTACGCAGTGGTCAAGAGCAGAAAACACTGTCGTGTTGCGCTTGGAGCCTACAGCAACTCAATGTGCCAAGTAGACGATGGATTTCGTTGCATTGTTCTCGTTGATCAACATAAAGTGGATTATTCTGACCCTCCATTCCTTAACAGATTCGAAAAGCAACTTTTACGATTTTCTGATGTGTTGACTGAAGATCAGAAGGGTGTCATTAAGGAACTCCGTGATTGGGTTAAAGGAATGTCGACAATACAAGCTTTAGAATCAAATTTCAAAGAAACAGATTTGTTCATTGGTTTCCATGAAGACACCCTACCATCATTGGTCTTGTCACATGGAAAAGAAAAAGATGACGTGCTACAGAAATGTAAAGATGACTTAATGTGGATTGCATCTCCCGATGGAGTGCTTCGGATGAAAAAATGCACAATATTGAAAAACGATTCACATGAGGTGCAGAACTTACATGATGAATATTTCAAGAAACCAATCCACCAAGGTTTTAGGGCTTTTATGGAACACGTAACTAGCCAACAGAAATCATCTTTCTTTGCCACTGATGAAATGGGCTCCAAAACGGTTGTCATGACATTTGCAAACATTCATACAAATATTCTCAAGTCCTTGGGGGACAATTGCCAAACTGAACGGCTTAGTGCGTATAAATCTGAGAAACAACTGACTGAAATGATCAACAAATACTGGAATGCCCCAGATAAGGAGTTGTTAGTTTTACAATGTAAACCAGGTTTTGACGGTACGCACTTGCTACATGCACGTTTTATCATCGAAGAAGAAAGAAATGCCTACAAACGGGGATTAACAAAAAAGAAAGCACAAACAAACAAGCATGTTTGTATCGTAGTGCACGTTCAACGCGGAGAAACACCAGATGTTTCCTGGCAGTTTAGTTTTCTGAGTGGTTGGAGACTAGTATTCCTTGATGTCCTTGACGCCCCTCCAATCCCACTGAACGAAATACTTGGTAAAAGTGTAAAAGATCTTCTGACATCCAATTGGCCCATTAGCGAAATTGTGCCAAACCACCTGTTATGGTGTTTCACCTGCCTTAAATATACTGGTAAACAACGTCCTGTAGATACTGTTTTACACATTGCAAACAATCTCTTCCGATCGGAAGCGGTTTCGAAAAATATCGAGGAATTAATTTTACAGTCAGTAGACCTGAAAGCCTTAGAAGATGTAAATTGTTCAAATTGGCAAGTTCGAGTTGCATGCGACCGCCAGTCGTTAGTTAATTCATCCACTCTCTACTATGCTTTGAAACAGTTTGTATCGAGATTAGTCCGAGATCCACTGTGCAAAATTGTATATTTCCTGGAAAAAGAGAATGCTTGGCCGCCTCATCTAAGTCAAGACACTGACGATACCCTAAAACCAAAAATGGAAGAAATTTGGTGCAATTTAATCCAGAAAACTTTCAAAATATCCGATATACCAGAGTATCTTGTTGAAAACACAAGCCTTCACCTATGCCTACCTTTCAGCCAACTAGTCAGCAGAAAAGTTGACGAAGTCAAGGAACTGTTTTTAGAAGACCACGCAAAACTCCTTGAAAATGACGAGGCTGAGGAAACAGCTCGGCAACAAAAAGTGAAAAGATTCGCGGTGATAATCAAAAACTCGGTTCCTGAACTTTCCAGTTATACTCGGGACTGTTACGACTTGTACATGAAAGATATTTTCGATATAATGACTGCCGATTTTAGCAAAACACTAAGTCGTCCACAGCGGTTGTCATTAGCGCAAGCTGTGTTTCTTTCAGAAATAAAGCCAAGTTTGCCACCGGATGACATGGTCGAGTTTTGTACATTGCTACACACCTTCGTATGGGTTCATCGCGAACGGATTGGTGATTTACTAAGAATGATTGATTTATGTCGGCCGTTTATAGGACTTAACGTTTTAGAAAGTTTAACAAAAGGCAGCCCATTTAGTAGCTCAAAAAAGGTCATTTTGGTGAAATCATTACCTCACATCCACGACGGGGAAGAATCCGTTGATACAGAAAGAGAGCATCCAGGTGAATCAGAAACGTTTGCAGACATCTTGGTTACAAGGTACTGTGAAGAAATGCTTCCTTCGCCTGAAACGGTCAAACAAAATGGTGGTGTCGAAGCTTGGAGACGAAACGCAAATTTACTGCTTTCATTGGCGCTAATAATAAGTGAATATCCATCCGCCGTACATTACCTACGTTTATGTGTGAATTTCTCAAGTATTATCACTCCTTTAAATTTACCTTCGTTGCATAATCTTCACAAAATCGGTCTTGATCTTAAACCGGAATACCTAGAAAACAAAAAATCATTCGAAGAAATAAATAAAAATTTAATAAAACCACTTGAGAAAGAAAGGAGTATACAAAAGCATGATTTACAAAAGTTCTTGGCTCTATTTTATGGTTGTTGTATCGACACAAACGTTGATGCCTCCGCTGTTTCTCCAATCATAAAAAACGTTTTGTCGTTGGATCGAGCGGAGTTTACAATGATGATGAGTTCTGTTGTCCTACCGCTACTCATGGTTGAAGAAATACAGTCACCTGGAATATTTATCGACTTAATTTCCACGTCTCGTGATATAGAGAGTTGCCCTTGTCTTCAGAATATCGACGTAGCTTTCAAAGAACGTTTTGAGCAAGGTTTAATACACCATGATTCGTATCCTGCGGTAATGATTTGTGATCTAATTCAATGTTTGTTAAAATTCGATCTTCTTAAATGCAAGGATCGAAATGACAATGGAACGTTTAAATTTAGAGACGTTAATGGCTCTGATTGTGAAGTTCTTACAGTTGTAAAATCTGCCATAGGATTGATATCCCAAAACAGCAAAGATAAGTGTGGTTTAAAAGTTCTCTCAGCTGTCGCATTCCTTAGAGAATTCATCATTAAGTTAGCGAAGTTCATTGCAAAAAATCCTGGTGTAGTGAAGAAAGACAGTCCATATGCTTGTGTACTGACAGAAATCAACTCACTTTTGAAATATTCAAAAACCTCACTACAAGTGTTTCTCATAAAACAACTGCACAAAAATTTAAATCTTTTTGATTTACAAAATTTGTTTGAAAAAGACAATATTCTTTCAACTGAGGAGAAATTATTGCCTCACGATATGATGAATCCTGACATGCAAGATATAGCTGTATTTACATCTGTACTCAAGTATTCCGAATACGAGGATGCAAAGGATTCTTTCTTGAAATTGATGTCAGAGGAAGATGAGTCATCCATTAAAACATTTTTAAGTAAATGCAATGGCTCTCCAAAACATGCCTTTGTTCTCCTTGGAATGCTCATAAATATGGTCTATTTAAAGCGGACTAAACGAAAACTCACTGATAAAGAAGAAAAATCAGTCGAATGGTTTGTTGTAAATACAGAACCCTTCCCAACGTTATTTCGGGAACTTTTGCTAAAAATTATCGGTCAGCCTGATTTCAATTGTTCAAAACTTCAACTGACACCCGAGTCGTCAGTGAGTGAAATAGAAACGGTTCTGCTGGTTCTTCACGTTGCCTGTATCGTCGCCACTAGTTTCCCAGGCGAAAAATCACCAATGTATCGATACTTCACAAATCCTCAAAAATTCGTACAGCCTTGTGTTCTTGCCCATGGTAAAGACGAGATCCGTTCCGTATTTGAACACCAACTATTCATCCAAGAATCTGTTCATGTAACATGCTCCTGCAGTTTGAGGTTAGCTTTCAAAGACACAATAAAGGAAATCGCGTGTCCACGCTGTCATGAAGCATTGAAACATGAATCAAAGCGCATCACGTGTTACGATAATTCAAGTTCAGAATCGGATCTTTGCACAAAGCACATGACTCCAGCGGTTTATCGTGCTTTACATCTCATTGTTTATTCGTCCTACTACGCTGGAATTGAGGTGGGAACTTCGACAGAGGAAAGTGTGTCAAGTGTCCTAAATATGTTGCACGGATCTGAAGGAAAACACAAATCCAAAAGCGCAGAGGATTTTTGTTTTGAAACTATCGAATCTGATATGCAGCATTTAATGAAAATTCTTAGTAATAAGAAAGATGTTGTAATAAAAACCATGCATGTCGTGCTTGAGAGAAGTTCAGATCTCATCAGAAGTAAAAATTTACTAGGATCAAACGACTGCTCAACACCAGAGATGCGTCGAGAATGGGAGGGTGAGTTTGCGAAGCGTACAAAAGAGGTGTTTCTGAATTCCAGTGAAATGTCCATGGAAATAAAAAATATGATGAAACTGCAACAGACTGAAGACAGTCAAACGAAGGTTACAATGTACGCCCGCATCTTGGAACTCGACAAATATCCTGAGCATCGCGAAGAGCAGAATCAGCAGTTAAAGAGATTATTTCGAGTGACGAAACAACCATCTTTTGAAGATTTCCGCTCGGCATTTTTGCATTCTCCAAAAGACGTTCAATCAAAGCACAGTTTCTTGGCCTTGTTCTTCGCAAAGTTTAATCAACTAACGATGGTAGGAAATCTTCATCATCTGTTGAAATGGTCTCGTCTCGTATCATCAGCATTAACTCACCGCATCAGTAGAAAAGATGCAGAATCTAAATCAATTAATGACTTCATAACCGGCCACCTTTTAGAGATAAACCGCAGTCCACAAGAAAAAAGCAGCTTCAAAATGTTGTTTGAAAAGTTTCAAAAAGCGTGGAATGAAGTTTGTTCGTTAATTGAACAAGGAGTTAACGAAGTGGTGATGCCAGGACTAATGGAGACGGATTATATAGCTTACTGTCTAACGGAAGGTGAATATAGCATTCACCTTGAAAAAGCTATCAAAATGCTAGTTTCACACCAAAATTCTATCTTAGACGCAACAATTTCTCTTTCATCACGTCGGCATCCGGCTCTGGGTTTCCTTGAAAAGAAAAACTGCAGCGGTGTCGCGATCGCTTCGATTCAAGAAGTCAAAGAGGAGGAAATAATCAGTTTTCAATGGTCTGACGATTTGTTGAAATACACACCAAGGAATCTCGAGTATGGTAAAGGCCACGAAATCGCGTATGATTTTGAACGAATAGAAATGTGGCTTGCAAAAAAAATAGCGTTCGGAAAGTGCTATTTGGCAGGTACACTGAACAAGTTCATATTTGCAAAGGAATTGTTTCACATCTGTGGCCCTTTATTGACGGAGTTTCGATCATTAATAAAACAAAGTGAAACATTGCCAGAGGATGTGGGTAAAGAATTGGTGAAGCTGAAAGAACAGAGGATCAAAGACGCCCAAGATCTTCTTCAACATATAGAAGTGCTCATCTTCTTGCTAAAACGAAAATTTAAGGACATAAACGTGGATATGACATTGAAACATTTCACTGAAAACTGTCCCACTGAAATCTCCTTCCCAGTAAAACTATTCCCCCAAACTGGAAGTTTGATCAAGATAGAACACGTTGCTGCACTTTACGAAGCTTTGGAAGACGTTCTTGCTGATGGTGCTATTGAAGGACTTGATAGAAAATTTCGGAAAAAATTGACAGACGACATGAAAAAGACCGTTACCGCTATGACAAACAGAACGACTGGCGGTGCTCAATTGATACCACGCAAATTCTTGAAAGTGCTTCGTCGTTTCGTTTTCCGTTATCTCTCATCTGAAAAGTACTGGCCTGAACAGAGTACACCGTTGCAGTGTCATTTGCAGGAACCTTCGCTGTGGTCCTCACTTAGACCACCAAATATGGATGATATCCCGAAAGAAATTACTCTAGAATACATCTACTCGATAGTGAAGTATCTTGAAGAAGAAGAGAAGGTAAGTTTGCACACGAAAAGTGTTCTTGATTCACAAACAGTGGGAGTTTTTCGATATCCTTCTCGCATATAGGAAGTATCCTTTAGAACACTTTATCTATTATAGGGCTCAGGGTTTTTCATATTAAAAGGTGAATAGACCCCTCCTACCCAGTTAAACAAAATTTTGAAATCAGAAAAATTACTACAGCTGGCAAGCTTAGCACCATAAATTTTGTTAAGGTAAAAAAATATCTGCATTGAATTTAGTGCAACGATTCGAGAAATAAAATTAAAGATTTTGTTCAAATACTGACAGATATAAACTTTTTTATAGAAAAAGGAACGCAAAACCATAATTAGTACATCAGGGCAAGTAAGCAACATTGGCCAACGACGTCAGCTTAGGAAAGCGACGTTTATAAAATGATCTGAAAGTATACAGCCTCATTTATAGACAAACAATAAAATGCTTTTGTTATTCTTAATGTAGCGTTGCTAGGAATATTTAAAATTTAACCACAGGTATTAAAGGTAAATGATCGAAGTAAATACAATGTGCGCAAAATATAAAGCCAATCTTGAAAGCTACAGTTTCGGTTTTTTCGACGAAAAATGTATTTTGAGGGTGTTAATTATTAAAGGTGTATTTTATATACCGAAACATTTTGTGTGAAAATGAAATCCAAGTTAAGTTGGAGGTCAAAATTGGCTTTATGCGATCTCAGGCTAGTGGCTATTATATCTTCGAAGTTGTATTGTAACTATAATAACTATTATGTCAACCTTATATAATAGACGAAACTATATATAGTAGAACTAGTGATTTATAGCAAGTCTCTACTTAGATCGGGACCTGGTTTCTTTCCTTTGCGAGGATAGCCATGTTACCAATTTCCCTTCGGGGCCTGATGACGATACAGACATCAATGAAAACAACTTATATAATTTAATATTAATAACGGCTACCTCTACAGTCACCGCTTGCATGATGGAGACATATCTAGTATGTAATGCATTGTTTCATTACTAATATCATTATACATTATAGTATAATACAAGCAATTTGATTAGCTAATAGTTGACAGATAAATCGCGCAATTACGCAAAATTCAGTTATCTGCTAGCAGATAACTGAGTTATCTGCAAGTGAGCCTGCGGTGGTTAACAAGCGGTATTCATTTGAATGTATTTATGTATTAATAATTTATGTATTTTTGGATGTCGCTATTAAATAAGGTTTTTCATTCGTTGATACTATGTTTACTATTCTTCAAAGGTATAATAAAACAATTATTGAATTCGGTTTTTGTGATATGCAGAGTTATCATGTGTGAATTACACGACAGAATCCATTTTTCTCATTATCGATTTGCGCTGTTGAGATTTGTTCACCCTGGAGTTAAACTTTAGATGTAATCACCTCAACTTCCCATTCTGATTAATCTCCCAGCTCAAGATCCTCGAGCTGTGGCAACGAGGTTAAAAAAATCAAAATCTTGCGCTGCGAGGTCCCTGAACGTTGTCAAAGCCTAGAAAACGAGGATCGGTCAGGATATAATGAAATAACTCATTCCGCTTTAATCAGTTGGCAAGAACGTCTTTTGCACTGCAGATGTCGTTTCGCAATGAGTGGAAATGACATTGTCTACGATATTTTATATTTTGTTTGTTTGTTGAGGTTTCTGGGGTATTCTGACAGGACATTCAGATTGAGAAGACCATGGACTGTGGCGATATAGGTAAATTTTAATGATATTTAAACGTTGTAAACAGTCTAAGAACTAACTTACAATTATTTATATAATTATGATAACACAACTTTTTCTTTACCAAATCTACGTTTGGTTATATTGTTCAAATGCATGTGACTAAATTGTTATTGTTTTCCTAGTCTATTTTCTATAATTTTCTTAAGTAAATTATAGGCGTATATATATTATATGGAATGAAAGGTTTTCCTTATTCCGTTGCATTCAATTACAATTACAATTACAATAACAGTTCGTTTTCTAGCTCTTGTGCTAGTTTTCGGATTTCTTTAACGACCTGAACAATTGAACCATTGCGAACCTTTATGAATGTCGAAACCAATGTATAAATATCGAGTGGTATCAGTGCAGCTCCGGCGACGGATCCAAATAAACGGAGTCCTCTAGATGCACCACCAACAGTTCTACACGTTTCCCCAAGCCCACCACTGAATATCTTGGCAAACTCCATTGCTGTAAAGATCGCACTTCTACTGAACTGAACGGCCTTTTCGACGCCTTTTGGGCCGATGAGATTTTTTCGCCCTAATCTCTTCAATTTCTCCATCATTTCATTGACTTCATCTGACTTATCCTGAAGGTTTTTGGTCTCTTTTGCGTCCGTATTTATTGCTTCACAGACGTTTTTAACTTTACGATATCGTAAAACTTTATTTACGATTAGTGTGCCAGCCATTGTTGTACCGCCCACAGCAGCAATAACAGCTCCAACAGCACCCAAGGGCAGAGAGGCGCCCAGCCCCGTGAAAGCCGCACCACTTCCTAGACCTACACCTTTGCCAAAAAGATAAGATAATGCGCCCGTTATCGTTGCCATTCGGGAATTTTCTTCATCTTTTTGTATATCATCAGCAAGTGCTCTCAGTACCATTATGGTGGTCTTACGCTCACGTTTCCATTTTCTCTTTAACTCTTCCAGTTCTCTTTTTAATTGGGCTATTTCTTCACCGGAATCTTCAGCGCTTTCCAAACAGTTGCTTTTTCCATCTCCGAGTTTGAATAGTTCACTTTTGGGGTTTACATGCCAATATTCTTCTTTCAAATCTTTTTCCCGATCCTCATTTAACGAATCTTCTTCCCTTATTCTTGAATCTTCACTTCCTCCGGATTCTGCCTGTTCTCTTTGCACATGGTCATCGCTTATTGCTTCCATCTTGGACATACAGCACTGCGTACAAACTGGTAACAGAGCTGTACAATGTGTAACGCAAATTTACCAATCTGTAGCCTTTGTTGGGTAAAACCTGTTGTGTGGGCAGAGATAAGACAACTTTAGTGTAGGTTAAACAGCAACCCCTTCTTTTTCGCGCCGCTAAGCATGATGGTAGGAGGCTGTACGTTGCTTTCGAACGAAATGGCGGTGCTGGAGCGGGTGATTTCCTTTGGACGAATATATGGCAGTTTTTAGACTATTTATTGCTTCAATCGACATTCGTTTTCCTATGGGAAATAACAAAGGCGCTATGCTCTATATTTTGAGAGAATTTGAGAAGTTTCTATCCATTAGCAACGAGAAAATACTCCGAGAGTGACACGCTTTGAAAACTTACTTTGCAGAATTTACTAGGGGAAATTTCGATCTCCGCAACAAAAGCAGGTGAGTTGGCCTTTCATTATGCGATCGGCTGAATTTTATTTCAAAATACGATGTTCGGATAGTGCCTTGCATTCGATCTCACAGTTACTTTGCATGTTCGCGCATTAAAATGGCATTTTTGGCCTCCTGAAATTTACAACCTCTGTCGCATTTGTGTTCGAATTTGCTATTGAACTCAATAGAGACTTCAATAAATGTTTATATTTGTTTTGGCGCGAAAATACACTAAATTCAAATTCAAGTCGTCTACTTGTGGCACAAAAATAAAAAGATAGACGTTTTTCTGCTGTTATTTATCCTTTAGCTGAAGTGTAACTGTACTCCTCTCCTCCCGTACTAAATTTTGTATATATCATATACGTGAGTTGTATCGTAATTTTAGGCAAGATATAGTTCAATATAAATTTTTAAAGTCGCTTTAGATTTGTATATAAATTTTTTAATAAAATATTTAGTTAAATTATAAGACTCAGTACAATCAATAATAACTCTTGTGTTAGGATAGACGTGCTAAAAGCAGGAAGGCATGTTATCTTGAATGAATTTACGGCTAGGCCAAATTGGGAGGGTGGGAAGGCGTTGATGCATAAAGCGAATCCAGGTTTTAAAAATACGAGAAACACTGCTTGTCGAGATATTAAATCTGTGAGCAATATCTTGTAAAAGTTAACCCAAATGTAATCTTGTAAGCACAAGGAATAATTCCTGTTCTGGAGACATTGATCTTCGTTTACCACATTTTGTTTGTGAAGCCGAAGTTATGAGCAGTGTTGGAACCATAATACACAAGGTGTTCACAGGCCGGAGAAAGGTAATCATAAAAAGCTTTAAAACTTGAATAGTTGGGAAATCCAGCATAAAATCTAAAATCATTGTCACTGTCTATGAATCTTTCTAATCGGAAGGCACTTAATTGTACTTTTTTGATATCTTCTTCATGCTGTTTTTGTAGCTGCTGTTTCTCAGCCTCAAGTATAGCCATTTCCTTCTTAATTTTATTTATTGGATCCTCAATCTCAACTGTAGAATTAATCTCACTAGTGACCGCATCATCTCTTATTTCTTTACTTGTTTCACTTGATGAACATTGTGAATAATTATCATTGTCAACTGTTATTCTTAAAGTGGGCCTTTTTCTTGGTTTACTTGTTGATTCAAAAATTGTTGGAATGTTGTTGGTATATGTCTTCTTCCCTCCCACAAAATGCATTGAACACACCCTATGGCTGGAACTAGGATCTCTTACACCTTTTCTTTCCGAAAGTCTTACCCACTTTTTCTTTAAATCAGGATTTTTTGGAATCTAATTAAAAGACAGTTCAAGGTTTCTCCGATTCTTGTTTTCGCATTGTGGGATACAACAATATCTTTTCCATAACCTTGCAGTGACTTCATTTTTTTCAGTGTTATTTACCTCAAGTGAAGTGTGTGGTTCAACCTCCATTATGATTATATTATATATTTTAAAATTTAAATACTGAGCTAACCTACACTAAAGATTTTAATTTAATTCTACACTAATTTAAAATATTAACAAATTTAATAAATATTCTAAATTGTTTCTATAATTTATATATATATTATTTTTGTGCCACAAGAAGACGACTTGAATTTGAATTTAGTGTATTTTCGCGCCAAAACAAATATAAACATTTATTGAAGTCTCTAATCTCTCTATGAGTTCAATAGCAAATTCGAACACAAATGCGACAGAGGTTGTAAATTTCAGGAGGCCGAAAATGCCATTTTAATGCGCGAACATGCAAAATAACTGTGAGGTAGAATGCAAGGCACTATCCGAGCATCGTATTTTGAAATAAAATTCAGCCGATCGCATAGTGAAAGGCCAACTCACCTGCTTTTGTTGCGGAGATCGAAATTTCCCCTAGTAAATTCTGCAAAGTAAGTTTTCAAAGCGTGTCACTCTCGGAGTATTTTCTCGGCTGCTAATGGATAAAAACTCCTCAAATTCTCTCAAAATATAGAGCATAGCACCCTTGTTATTTCCCATAGGAAAACGAATGTCGATTGAAGCAATAAATAGTCTAAAAACTGCCATATATTCCTCCGAAGGAAATCACCCTCTCCAGCGCCGCCATTTTGTTCGAAAGCCTCCTACCATCATGCTTAGCGGCGCGAAATCTATAAAATGCAAGTACTAGTTGTCTAAATGGTCATTCAAAATGCAAACAAAGCGTTTACATTATTGACAGTATCCATGCATTTAAATATCTCTGAGGGTATTTTCACCACCAAATGATAGGGCTTGAAAATGTTATGCAAATTATATATTTAGATTAGCAGACAGCTATACACATCACTTGTAGTACGTGCCAAAAAGCTATAGGATGTTTCGTTACCCTATAAATTACTCAGCTTAGCATGCAACTATACATTTTTGAAAATTCTGCGTTTTTTTGCGTTTTTTGTACCCTGTTACAATTCATACTGTTACTATTCATTACATTTTATTCTCCTGCCCTGATTTTAAGTAGTTTTCAGGCAGGATGTACAAAAGAATAGGATAAATAACAGGTCTTATTCTCAGATGCAAGCGTTGCTAAGCAAGTGCTTAGTGCCTTTAGAATGCAATATATACAGCATTTCGCTCTCGTACTCCAAGAATACCGTTTTGGCAACACAGTCACCCATCTATTGTAAAGATAAATAATCAAATCGATTTCTTACCTACACCAATTCGCATTTCTAACAATATTATCGAACGTATATTTATATATTTACACGCCATTTGGAGTATAAAATAAGATTAAAGTGTCTGTGAGTATTTGCGCTAGAGACACCGAAATACCACCAATTGATAGCGCTTGAAAATGTTATAAAAGTAGTATATTTCATTTTACAGCCAGCTATAAACAGCACTTGTAGTACGGGTTTAAAGTGCTATAGATGTATTGTTATCCCAAACTATATACACACCTTTAGCAGCAATATTCTTTTAGCAATTCTTCGTTTTTCCTCTTTTTTGTACCCTGATTTTCTCCAAAGGCAGGATGTCAGAACAATCGGAGAAGTTGTCAAAAGAATCTGAGAATTAGCTGTTGTTCTGAGACGCAAGCGTTGCGAAGTGTCTGCTTAGCGCCTACTGGAAATATTATCGTGTGGTGCCACTCCCTTAGGGTGAAATGACGGCAGAATCCAAATCCTGGCGTAAAATTTAAGTATGACTGGTTTTTCGGCTTTTTTGAGCCGAAATTCGTTCGTACTTTTTTACTTATTGCTATATCGGGCGATGATTCCATGTTCAGAGAATGCTAAATACTCGACTTCATACCTTGGATTACTGTTTGTTTATCGCATCAAGTCATTTCGGATTAATCTGTCGTCTGCACGTACGTAAAGCGCTTCGCTCCTCCCCAAGTGATTTTTATTTACCTTGTTTTTTAGCGATGCTTAAACAAAATCTTAAGCATTTCCAACGTAGCTGTCCATATCAGCCATTTAATTGAAATGATGTGGCAAACGTTCCGGCGGGAAGTTTGTATCGGTATTATGGGTGTAAAAAGATCTGATAGCCTTCTGTTAAAGTAATATCACATGAGCTGTCATTGTTAACAACTTCACGAAATTTTTAACCAGTATCTGGCTTAGACTTGCAGAGAAATGATGAGTACGTCAGTGTTCATGTTAATGCAGTGCAGTTTGAATTTTGATTATATATAGATCAGATTATATGTAGATAATCATGCGTGGAATATTTGTGGCTCGATTAATTTTTTGCCGTATATAGTAGGTAAATATACTGCATGTTTGTAGCATATACTGCATGTTTGTACCATGCATGTACTGCATGTTTGTATCATGCATATACTGCATGTTTGTACCATGCATATACTGCATGTTTGTACCATGCATGTACTGCATGTTTGTATCATGCATATACTGCATGTTTGTACCATGCATGTACTGCATGTTTGTACCATGCATATACTGCATGTTTGTACCATGCATGTACTGCATGTTTGTATCATGCATATACTGCATGTTTGTACCATGCATATACTGCATGTTTGTACCATGCATATACTGCATGTTTGTACCATATACTGCATGTTTGCACCATATTTTTTTGTTTCAAATCATTGTATAGTTCTATGAGACTACACCAGGAAACAAAGTGCTTGGTGACCTACCGATCAATCTCAGTCACTATCTCTGACAACATCAATGATCCACTCTGCAGTAAGCACCTCAAGACTAAAGAATGCAATATTAGAACTGGTATCTTCATTTGTACTTCACAAAAGCATAATAATTATACAGGAATACAGGCAAACAGCATACAAAAAAGGCACTGACAGGCACCTAGATATGCCTAGATATACCTTCCCCTAGATATACCTTCCCCTAGCTACATTGAGATTTGAGAGGATGATACATATTCTTAATATCAAACAACACATGGGGTATAGATAAGCTTTCCTGTCCATCTGTCTGCCCAACTGCCTATTTGCCTGTTCCCATATGATGTCTAATGAACAATTAGTAATTATTGTCAGAGTTTATTTTGACCACGTACAGTGCAGGCGAATGTATTTTTGATCTTCTTGGCATCTCTCGCATTGAAGAAGATGCATTCGGGATGAAAAAATGGCTTGCATTCAATGCATTGCAAGGATGGACGAGCCCTCTTCCTTCCACGGCAGTATTTATTACACACAACAATAGTGCACCACCTGAAGAAAACACAAAACTTAAGATTCCAAGTCCTGTAAGATTAATAAGGAAAATTAGTTTTCAATGCCAATGGGAGGAATTTGAATTTTTATTTAACATCAAAGTGCTATATGAAGTGCACCTGTGTTTACAACAGAAATTGCTTTGCTAATAGTATTAAATAGGCACACCTTTATTAAATAGGCACACCTTTAAGGTCTGTTCACACAATCCAATTTTGTTGGATCCAATTCACTTCTGACGTATGAAATATAGTTAGTTATTGATAAAGCAGTACTGCATTGGCCTCAATACATTACAACACAACAGACTACAAAACATCCATCAGAAGTGAATTGGATCCAACAAAATTAGATCGTGTGAACAGACCTTTAGTTCACAGAGTAGAGAGCCAGTTTTATAGGAGATTATAATTTTAACTTTTAATAATAAATAATAAACAATTATTGGATGAGGCTCAGCATGATATCAAGAATTATTCAGACCAAGGTCAATATTATCTGCCGAGGCAAATGTTTTATTAAACATTTATAGACATCAGAAACGTACCGTTACGTATAAAACGATTAAACAAAGTTTATTTTAAAATGCTTATTTGATTTGATTTTATTTATTTTCGCGCTCTTTTGGGTTCATGATGCTGGCGCGCCAGGGTTTGGGCACGAGAGAGTCCAATATTGGACCAATAATTGTTTTTTTTTTCAATGCAAGTTCGATGCAAAAAAAAATTTTGGACGCTGAGCACGTGAGCAGCGAAACTACGTAATAAATACAAAATATTAAGAATTAACTGATTCTTTTGACCAATCAGGAACGACAATACACACGAAATGTATAATAATATAACTAAATATATTTGCATTTTGTAATATGACTTTTTGTTTCATAAATTATTTTACCAAGTCCAAGATAACAAAGGACATTAATTATCTTTACTCCTTCACAGACTAGCTAAATTAGCAAATTGGTAAACTTGGATTAACTATGGATAACAAACACAACGTTTTACAATGTCTGTAACACAAACAGCAGTCACCTCCTTGACCCAGAGTAGTTTACACTAGCTTCAAGAATTAACTGATAATTCGTGTCTCAAAGTCGAACGTTTCTAGATTCTCAATTTAACGAATTCCTTCGCTTCTTACCTTATTTATAGATATGGACCATCACATTCCATACTACAATGATGAATTTGTGAAATTGGTAGAAATATGCCCCAAAAAATAGTTCAAAAATCCAAATATCGACCAAATCCAAAAGCATGCTTTCAGGACATAATGTACTCGGGACGAGGTCGGAATTTGCCGTCAATTTTCGCGCCTTTTAACAGACTGCAGGGTTTCCACTTTGATGGAAATTTATATATTTTATGGAAATTTTGATATAAAGGCAAGTGAGATGGCATTTTTTATGGAAATGATCAAATGAAAAACTTATGGAAATTCTCTAGAACTTTCAACATTTTCTTTCTTCAATTAAAAATTTAAAATCATAGAGCTCATTGATTCAAATTCAATATTTCCAACAAACATAAAGAGACTTTTTGGGATTGCGATGACAATTTACTTTGTTAAGTTTGTTTATGTTTGCTGGTTTTGCGCCAAAATAAGATACATCCGTTTTGCTTGTTATTTATTAGCTATTGATACTTGAGGAAACCGGCGTGTAATAAAACGAAGGAAACCAGGGTGTAATAAAAGGTCCAAGAGAGCGTCACGTATTTTGCGAACGGCCCCTAACTACAATTTCTATGTGCATGTCAATATCATGGCATTTGCCCAGATTCTATGAGGTGTTCAATCGTGGTTTTTAGTTGATCGTAATTCTTCGCGTTTCCAGCAGATGGATATTTTAAACTAACTACTTGCCACTCATCACTTCGTTTGGTTAAACAACACATAATGATGGCTTTTAAATTAGCAGCGCATCCCAACACATCGTCGCAAAGCTGTTCGTTTTGTTTCTTTTTATCATAACATTTTAGGCTTGGATTTGTATATTTCGACACGTTCGGGGCATTCCAAGCACTTAATGTGAACACCAGACGGTTAACCTCAGCTGGTATTGATTGGGTTGACACAGATATAGTGTGATGACCAAGCTTATCTTTATCATGCATGACGTCACCAGAATGCTCGACTGCTGGGCATGATTTACTTGCCTTATTGCGATAGTCCACGACTTCTATAAATTTAGAATCACTGTAGAGAAATACAGAAGCATCGAGATAGTCGCGAACTTTGAACCATTTAAGTTCGAATATCTCGAAATTCAAAGTTTTCTTCGGATATCCCCAGGAAAGATCAAAGATTATATCCATATTCCAAGGAATTGCATACAGTAATATTACCAGGTAAATTCTGCCATTGGGATTTACACCGCAATCTTTCAATCTGAGTTGTTTGCCCTCGCTATTACTGGTCTGGAAAAAAACATTGACCAAAATCAAAATTATGATATCCGTTGGAAACATGCATGCATGCATTTCTGACTTCCTTTGGGACTTTAGGTCTATATTTCGGTATATTCGATCATGCAAAAGTCGAATATACCATGACCTTATCAAGGTCGAATATACTATATTCCGGTATATTTGACCATACCAAGGTTGAATATACCATATCCCGGTATATTCGACAATATCAAAGTTGAATATATATACCGGAATATGGTATACTCGACCGTGGTAACGGAATGTCTGAATATTCGAACCAACTGAATATTCGGACCAACATTATCCATGAAATGTTGCAATGTTCATTAAAATTTCCACGGCAAAGACAGATTTTTTCTTACCTCCAGCACCTCATTATTGTGCAACAGACATTGTTTGTTTGAAGGAATCCCAAATTTTTCGTTAACAATAGATTTCAGATACATAATAGTTTGTTCTGGGTTATAAACAATTGTGATACTCTCTCCTGAAAGAGTAGTAACAAAAATGTTCGGTGTCGTGTCATTAGCTGTGGCACCACCAGACTGACTAGCTGTTGCGAGTTCGCCGCCACTAATTGTTGGTTTGTCACCAGTGATAATTGCGGGGAAAAGGAACCTCAAAGTCTGGACATATTTCTTGTACTGTCTGTTGTCTTCATCAACGACGGCGACACATTGTGAGCACTTTTTATCATCTTTGACTGACTTTGTTGCGCACTATATTGACATATATAAAGAATTTTGCTGATTAGGGCTGGATATTCTTGGAAGTTTAATACGACATGCCTTGCCGAATCTTCTGTTCGTGTCGAACTTAATGAAAACTGATATATTCTACATTATATTTCATGCTCATACTCACTCTGAGGCAATGTAGCAATGGATGTTTAGTACACTCCTTTGTGAGATGTTCGTGTGGAAATTCTTTCGATAATTTATCGACACCACAACTATGACATTTCATTACTGCACTTTAATTTCCTCCAACGCCGAGAAAACACAAAGATGAAATTAAAAATTCCTGGAGAAGAGAATGAAAGGAAAAGCACTTGCGGAGTATGCAAAGTTTCCTGGTATTGCGAATATTATTTATTTACACGCAATTTTCAGACGCGAAGTCTCAGGTTTCAGAACCAGATAAATTCAATTCTGATTTCTGGAACGCAATTTTGAGAGCTAGACAAGTCGAAATGTATTATCGTTCCGTGATTCAGAAGAATATCATAACATGATAAAAATTAGTTGCTTTTAAAAACTGAAAAATTCGTGGACATGGTGGCGCTTTGGCGGAACACACCAGTGCGTGTCGACTCAGACTGTTGACATCACATTTCCGCAACGGAAATTTCATTGGCGCCACAGTTAATTAGAAAACGAAATCTGTACCTTTTGGAGTTGCTCAACGATCAACGATTCCTTGTTAGTTTCACTAATCAAGACTTTACTTTAGTAGGGTTTACGACAAGTCGACAATCTAGATAATCTAGATTTTTATGTCAAAATATCCTTGTTATACGTAAACAATCACCCCCTGTGAAGTTAATATTGAACAATATTAAGTATAAAGATTGGCGGAATAAGGAAATCTGAATCTATATTGTCATGGCAGCCTCCAAGGGTGAAATTCCTTTTCACAAGATATAGAAAACGATACTTATGGTATGTCTATCAGTTGTTGATTTAAAATATTTATTTGGGTTAGTTAAACTTTAGATTTTGTGTATTAGTGATAGAGCAGATTCATGTTTGTAGCATGTGGGTCAAACTCGACCTTTTGATTTTAAAAATGTAGACGACTAGACGGTAGTGAACTTGCAGTCCATTATAGGTAAAGCCTTTTATTCTGAACGCTATATTTCTTAAATTTGATACTCAATCTGACACAATAATTATATTAATTCGGCCACGGCTCTCACAGCATTTCGTGTCGAAAGTCGAAACATGCGAAATAATACTTGAATTCTTGTTGTTAATTATAATGCACCTAATAATATTTGAATGCCTAAAGGCTTATAGTCATATAGAAGTAATCTCAATGGGTGTTTGCATGTTCAATCGCGCGCAATGTAGATTTTTTGGCTGTTCACCCAAGTTCGATTCAAGAAGAATAGCTTTTAGGTGATATATATCGATGCTTTCAGTTTCAATTTCAATGAATTAAGCATAGAGTCAGAATCCGGTAGTGGAGAAGATACATTTTTTATTCTATTACGACCTTACCACTCACGACGTTAACCACGACAACTCCGCCAGTTAGAAATAAGTAAATCAAAGTATAAATTAAACTTAAGACAAATTTAAAGTAAATTTAAAGCCTTTGGTCTCAGATCGATCAAAAAGCTAAACGGCCAAAATCGTGTGCAAGTAAAAAACCACATTCTTTCATGCACCGCAGGGAATATAGTTTTGATAGCTTTATATTCGCGCATATATACATCAAAGCTCATAACAAATTCAAATTTGTTTTGCCTTCAATCGGACGAACTTTTATTCCTTGCTTTAATTCTAAACATATTCAAGAAAAGTATAATTGGGAAGCTAAATAACTGCTTTTGATTACTGCATATAAGAAGGTCATGGTCATGTATTCGCCATATTATATGTACTTTTTCCTCAAGATAGGTAGTACAGATTTTTATTAGCTTCGCGTCGGTATAGTCAGTCCCATTAACCACCAAATGTTACATACTGTATGAAAGGTCTCGTATATTGCTTAGTATTTAAGTGTGCTACAATGCTTAACTTCAACCTAAACGTATTCGCGTTCTGTTCACACTTACCCTGAGGTAAGTGTCTGTTTGGCTAAGGGTCTGTTTGCACGATCCGATTTCAGCTGGATCCAATTCACTTCTGACGCGTATGAAATGAAGCTAGTCTGTTATTGATATAATTATATTTCAGTACTGCATTAGCTTGAATTGCATGATTATCTTGAGCTGCCCATAATTCAAAATTTTTCAACATTATCAAAATGTTTACTCCAATTCTTGGAAACGCGAATGTTTTTAGAATGGTTTGAAAATTGCGGTTCTTTAGTTGTCAGGATTAGCATGAGCGTCGTAAAATTTGAATAAATTTTTAATTACAACAAAGCTGCGTTGAATTTTGCATCACAAAGACAATCAGACGATCTAATATCAACCAACAACTACATACTTTTCCTGTTGCAATCATGAATTTACGGGCTGATGAAAGGAACATTAAAGACGCGTCATCGCACTGAAAAGACCCACATAAAACGAATGAAATGTAAGAAAATAATTATGAAATACTTGTATAAAAGAATGATTGTAAAATTAATCAGCGATTGCGGTCGTCTTGAAGACGAAAAATGTAGAGCAGCAGCAAATAATTTCAACGAAACTGCGTCGGAATCTGTATCACAATAGCCTTCAAATGTTGCAGCAAAAAAGCTGAATCCATCTATACGTTATACGTTATCAGTTACAATTATACATCAAAACTTTAAAAACGAAACTTTCAAAAAATAGAATAAAAATCCGCATGCCAACAGCCAGCAGATGAATTCCATATAGTAAAAAGCCAAATGGATATAATCATATATGTTACCTCTCATAATTATCACTCTGCGAAAAAGCCAGTAAAGAAGGGCAATTCAGGCGTGTATAGCTACAGAAGAGAATTCTTTGAATTTTGACTGCAAAGGTTCATATGAAGTGGGCAAATAAAATAACTAATTCCAAGAATCGCAGATGTTAAAATAACTAATTCCAAGAATCGCAGATATTTTTCAAGAAAATTAGAATTTCAAAACAACGCTGCGTCGAAGCACAATCTACACAATACAAGAGCTATCAGATTCTATATAGCCACACATATAAACTTTTGACAACGTTCCTCATGCCAGGGAAGTAAAAAAGACATGCAAGCACAAAAGCGGACCATTCTGTGTGAGTATTTTGACAATAGAGATTCATGAACTAAAAAAATGAGGCAACTGAATTTCAAGATGTTTTTAATTCATTAGAAACGCATGTTTCTTGTTGCCATAAAAAAATGTAGGAATCGCTGTAGGAGTGGTTGCTGTAGGAAGAGCAAAGATTGGATCGAATACATTAAGTTGGTAAACATGGCATACTTAATTTTTAAATCCTCCGCAAAAGGTGGATCTGTTGTTTTCGCACATTTTTGGTCAATTACATGCAACGCCACAACTTGTCTAGGTTATATATGTGCGTTCCTTTGTAATCAGAATACAAATATTTCTGTATGGCATGAGGATAGAAAGCTTAAATATGTGGAATGTATTTGTGGAAATCCGTGAATTTTAAATACTTTTTGGTCATGCATTGTGTAACGGGTCGCTGTAATTGCACAACAAAAGCTGTGGCCGAGGACGAAGGAAGAATAAAAGAGCAGAGAAGGAATGGAGCCGTGGGTTTCATTAGAACCTAAGAACAGCTAATAGGAAAATCTCATTTATTAATTTAATGATTATTTCTATATGCCGGTTCAAGGAGAAAACTAGAACTGCAGTCAGCTCTTATTAATTAAGAGACGCCTGTTTTCCTCTGGATCATCAATGCTATAGGCGATCTAGTATTCAGAACTATATGCCGAGTAAGCTCATGCATAAGTTATGCTCATGCATGCACAAAAATCAACATTCCCTGTGAGAATTGAAACATTTCTCGCAGGGAATAAGAATAGCAGGACTGTAAGTTTTCTGCATTGAACTTGTACAAAAAGAATACTTCGAGATTCTCATGGAAACGTGCTTTACTATTCTCGTAATTTTGTATAGATTAAAAGATCATGGCCGAATGCCTCGACAATAACCCGTCCGCACAGGAGGAAGAGGCTATTTATCATGATGATGAGCCGTATGTTAAGATTGATCCACCGGGCTCACACCAAGAAAAACCTGGCCATATTGAAACTGGGCTGACGAGATGGCATTGTACACTCGATCCATTAACTAGTGATCAGCAAGCTGATGCAGGAGGAAATGATGCTCCCGATCCTGCAAACACACGAATAGGTGAATTGATTCTTGCAGGAGTATGTGAGCCAGAGACTATATTACCTCCAATACCAACCAAACCAACAACGGTAGGAAACGCAATTTTGTACATCTTCAGCTTTTGTCATTAAGATTTCTAGTATTATACCAAGTATTCGCTTGAGACCAATTTATTTTTAAATTGACGTTTCGGGGTGTTTTAAGAATGTATACTGGGAAAAAGAGTCCTATTGCCTCGATATGTTTAGAGGAAACTAAAATGGCTGATCTAATAAAAAAGCCAATCATGGCCAGAAATGCAGGCCAATATGGCCATATGCCAAGCATGCGTGATTTAGCGCTAATTTAAAAATCCAATATGGCGTACCGCATTTCTATATAACCCACAATCAGTGAACTCAAATAAGACTGGAACGCTCACTCTCTGACTTTCCCTCATTAATGAGTGAAGCCAAGATGGCGATTCATAAAGCCTTTCTTGTAGGTGTGATCCAGGCCTCTGACGCGGAAATTTTAAAGGAAAAATCATAATTGCCGCCGTTATACCTACGAAGTTTCCGTGTGGAGGCCTGGATCATACCTATAAGAAAGGCTTCATCTTGGCTTCAAACTTCCGACAGATTGAGCGTTCCGGTCTTATTTGAGTTCACTGCCCACAATTGAGAAGTAATGTTTGTCCACGTCTAAAACATTATCAATTTTATCGATCTTTAAACACTGAAAATTTGAGGACCGGGAGGGGATGCCCAAGTATGTTCCCGAGAAAGAACACTTTTACGATTGAGATTGTATAACTATAAGAAAGTGTATACTCCGAGAGTATTAGGTACCAGCAGCTCCAATTTCAGCTCGTTGTTGGCAGACATCAGCAAATGTCCGCATCAGAGCCAGTGGTTCATAAAGACTACAGCTTTATTTACATCGCATTCTAGAAGCTTAAAATGACGCTTAAATGTGTTTCCCAACGCGATGAAATATGTCAATTTCGTAGAGTGATTTTTGATCATAGAGATTATAAATACACTAGAGGAGGTTGGTATCGGTAACATCAGTCAAAAAAGAGAGCGCGTTAATTGATGGGGCGGGGGGGGGGCAAATTCAAGTTCCGGATGCTAAGCCAAGCGCCTATTGGCTACATCAATGCCTCTCTTTAGCAACCACGTTAGCATCAACTAAAATTTGCATTAAAAAATTCATATTCGTTTTTAGGTCGCTTTTCCGCTTTTTGAGGAAAAATAGTGTTTTTTTTATCTGGTTTTATTTACTACGTTAGACATCGCAATTATATTTTAGGGAAAAAACCATTTAGAAATAAAAAAAACTCGCTTCAAACGATATATTTGGCTCGGACATCGTGAATAAGTGAACATCCGGGACTTGGATTTGCCCCCCATTAACGCGCTCCCCAGTTTCTCCTCGCTAACTCCCCCCCCCCAGTGTTATTTATTATCTCTATGGTTTTGATCGCAATTATTTTCTTTTAGCTGTTGCTATGATACAAGCGACACTGATCTAAAACATAAACTTAAAACTGAACCGCATGAGCACACACACCTCACCGCTTACCGACCTTGCATTTCTGGCCATGAAATGGTTGTTCAATGTATATACACCCCTATCTTATACAGGCAAATTTCTATCTTTGGATCCGCGGAAAGCATCGTGTCGAAGGGGCAAACCTCCACATTGGCCCAGAAGAATTTACATTACCTCTTTTACCAGTTGACAAATCATCCCAGGAGACAAATCTGTGGTATATTAGTTTGAAGTTTGGGCAAGATCCAATCAAATGTCAATTAAAATATAAATACAGTTTGCATATAGGTGGTTATGATTGTAATGTGCCTATGTATGGCAAGATCGAGTCTTTCAGTACAAAGCCCCATGATGTGAAAGAGGGTAGTGAAAGACAGATGGCAAGCCAAGTTCACTTTGACGTCTTTCATTTTCCTGACAAGAGACGCCATGGAGATAACACTTTTTCAAAAGGAGTAAAATTTTACTTGATGTGGCTCTTGGAATTTGTAAAAGTTTCCATATTTTCCGACATTCTTACCTACCTTCGAGGCTTCAGTTCCAACGTCTTTGGTTTCAAGATCCTGACCAAAAAACACGTGGAAAAACTGGTCTCTTGGATTGTGGCAAAGTCTTTAGAAAAACCTGTAACGGATTTACAACGATTATACTTATGTATGGTCCTGAGCTATCTAAAAAGCTGTGGTCCAAAAATGTTTAATCTACAGCCGCATATAAAGAACAAAAAGTTTTTTGACGCATTGCTTAAGTGTCTTAACAATTGCGCAGATTTCAACTTCCATCAAGATTGCCAGATTATGCATAAAATTGCTGAAATTTTGGTTGAAAACAGCAGCAGTCCACGATGGCTTACTCTCGCAGCACATTTTTATCCCTATCTGTTAATCGGATTCATTATCCACGTCGACTCTAAAAAACGTCTTAAAATCACTAAAGATTGCGAAGAATTCAAGAAACTTGTAGCGCAGCTCTTTTCGCGTTTAAAAGTGGAAAATAAGAATGATCAGGCCGATCACTTAGGATTACTAGAACGGATACTGGAAAATGCTCCAAATTTGATCGCAGCTATGAATCTATCAGAACAGTTTGAAATGCTTGAGTTGTTTGATTCTGAGGACGAAAAAGTCAATTTCTTCGCGAATCATTTTGAGAAAGCCGAGTGCATGACCGAAACAAAAAAAGGCTCACGTGCGAAACTGGATGTATTTCAGCAAATACCGAAGAAGATTCTTAACAAGATTCCAAAACTGCTGCAATCGACATTGCTTGATTACAGCAAATCATATGACAAGTTAAAAGACTCAGAAAGGGACGTTTTTAATAAACTTCTTCTTTCTATGAAGGATCCTGATGTGAAGCAACTCACCCAAATACTGACATATCTTTCCAAGTCACTTTCCGGTCAAGATTTACTAAAAGAAGTTCTAAATAAGGATAATTTCAAGGAAAGTTGGTCGAAAATTGAACATGAAAAGAAGGTGAACATTTGTGAATCGTGGATCTTCAGGAAGTGTAAAATTAGCAACGCGAGCGGTCTTAATTTGGTTTTAGAAGTTTATAAATGCATCAACGATGTAATGCAATTTCCCCTTAATGTTTCCATGCAAGAAACTCTCGCTCCAGAGGTCCACAAACGCGTGGTGGAAAGTGTTATGACAAAGAATTATGGCATTTCTGTTCTTCAAGCTTTTGTTCATATTGAGAAATTGATCCCCGCTGTTCAAAAGTGCTACATATCCCACGTAAAGGAAACATTGACGCGTGATTTGGTTAAGAAGTCAATCGATTTTTTGAAGGAAAACGTAAACAGCAGCAGGTATTATTATTATTATTATTAAAACTTTATTTCATGAGGGGTTCACATTGTTACCTTAAGGTATTCTTCCCAATGGCCCTCAAAAGGTACGTGTTCTTGTTTCGTGTCTGCCATTAATCTAGAGCAAATGAAATGGTTTACAAGTAGTTCTTAGCGATTCGGATGCAAAAATTTATATCTAAAACTTTAATTAGACACAAAACTAAATCTTTCCAAATGAGGTAAACTTATGGATGTTTGTAAAACATATACCTAATCTTAACAATAAGCCTAATATCCTGTTATTCTTGAAATGTTTATAAAGTTCTATTTTGCCTTTATAGTCTCAGTCAACAATTATTGTTATGTATTTTGGAAATAATTCATCAACCAATGGTTAACAAGAATGGTATTTTCAGTGAAAAGGATTTCAAACCAATTTTAGATTGGTGTGATGTTTGGATTATCTTATTCAAAGCAAACGGTACGTCATTATTCTTACAAGCTTTCACTGTCCTTGTTCGAACTCGTGTTAAGATACCGTGGTGCAAACATTAATCTTGCATTCCCAGTTTTATATGACACTTGATCGCTGTCTGCCATATGAATATATATACCAGATTGCTTAAAAAGTACTTGAATTTACTAAAATGTATGTTTCTTTATTTTGCAGGAGTGTTCGAGAACTCGAAAAAATATCAAAATGGAAAATTACTTAGCCAACAGCTAGCACATAACATTTTGGTGGGAAACATTTCCCCAAAATTTACACAAGAACTGGCCGAAGTGAAGGAGAATGTTTCGAAATTGTGCGCTAGCGTAAACACCAAAACCAGAGAGTCCTTCGAAGATCGGATCGCAGAATTAAAGTCTGTTGTAAAAAGTTTCCCTCCAAAATTTCAATGTTTAGAACAAGCGATAAACTTTGGGAAGAAACTATCACATGAAGTTTATCCTGCTTCTGAAGTTGTTAATATCGAGAATATTATGGAGACCTTCAATAATCTTCGGACTAAATGGCGTGAACGAAAAGTTAATGAATTGCAAAATGAGACGTTTTGGGGAGCCTTACTTCCTTTGTTAGAAGCAGCTCAAACATTACAACCTTTGGTAAATTCAATGTCGTTTATGGCCATGGCTAAAATATGCTTAGAATCCCAGAAATCAGATGAAAGCACGATGGTAAATGACCTTAATTCATTGATGGAATTTTTAACAACTACAGCGATTGAAGGGTTTAAGGCCCGTTGGATTTTTGTGCTAAATGATCCGAGGTCGTTTATTGTGGGTGAAATGAAATCGATGCTTGGAACTTTAGAGGAAGGAAAGAAAGTTGATGAGGAGTTCAAAATGCTAGAAGAATTCTTCCAAGAACCATTCACCAGCAAGGTGAAAGTTTTCGTCCGAAACTGCCTGGCGTATCAGAGCGCCTATGAAGCGACACAACACATTAATGACACGCTAGAGATTTTCCAATTTACCCACCTATCTGAGAGAGATAAGTCATGTCTTCCGAAATTTCCAACAACACTGGAAAATGTCGAGGCACTCACTCTAGAAGATTTGGACGAACTTATGGCAGATTTCAGACAAAAAATAAAACAGTTTTCGGGAGAAGGCCTAGAATGTGTGTTCAAGGAGCTATCGTGTTCCAGCGAACTTGTTAGTTTCATGGAGGAAATTGTTGATGATGACATTCGTTTCCTCATCGATGCCGTTGAAGAACATTTTGATCAATCTGTATCCGAATCTTCTGTTTCAGACCTTATCGTTGTCCATGGTTTTCTGGCGCCTTTGATTAAGAAGAAAAATAACGAGAAGCTAGATGTGGAGGAATTTTCCAGCATATTAAAGAAATCTCCGGTTCGTCTGGAAGATATAGCAGGAAAGATCAAGCAATGTAGTATGAACGTGAACAGTCTTCGTGGATTGTACACGAGCATTGCAAATCGAGGAGAGATGACTAAAGAAATTATTAGTAACTGCCTGAGCAGAGGAGAATATTGGGTGTCACAGGAAGACGGAAAGTGCGAAACTAAGATGAGTTATGAACCTCAGGGAAGCAGCAAAGATAAAAAGTATTATTCCCTTCCGGAACTACATGATTTACGAAGTCGCGCGCATCTTATTGCCACCTCTCGTAAAAATACCATAAAGGCTACATCCAGTGGTTTCAACGAGTGCAGTGAGGATTCTTTGAAACGCGACAAGAACATTGATTTTGATAAGTTTATAAATCAAGTTAACTTATTGACGGAAATTTCTGCGCTTCTATCGATATTGCGTTCATCTGGATGTGTGAAATATGAAAACTTTGAGGTGAATATCAAGGCAGCTGATGATCTTAAGGAATTCAGAGACAACCTATTAGACCATAAACGAAAATGGGACGAAGCACTAGAAGGCGCGCGCAAAAAGTATTACTTCCTTAACTACTACCGCTCTGACCAAATCCGCACAATATATTATTTTTTAATGGATGAAAGGAATATGGACGGATCGAAGGTTAATTGTGACGAGGTTCTTTCGTTGATTCATTTTGTTGACCCAGCTATAACTGAACAGAAGTTGAGAAAGCAGCAAGACCAGCAACAGAAACCATATTTAAAGGACATTGCCAAGCCTAAATCATTGCCAGAGGCTGTTGGCGAGGCGTTGGAAAAACTTTTCAAGCAATCAGAACCTGTCGTTAGACCAATATCCTACGGTTGTCAAAATCATTTACATTCTAAGGAGGCTAAAGTTATTCCGGGAGAGATTTTTGTTGTCTGTTTGGAGCTTAAAAGTCCGTTAACTGCCAATGTAATCCTCACTCTGTACGAGAACACGTCAAATGCATTTCCTGAACCGTACCAAATTGTTTTCTGCAGTTCCCAAACAACGTGGGAGGAAATACATCTTCTATTGCAGAGATGTTTCACCCATTCAAAATACTGTCATGGAAAATTGTTTTGTATTGCGAATGTGGAATTGCTGCCCAATGAATTCCAGTTTAGATTGGTCAATGCACTCAGAAAGAAACAAAATTGCCAACGAAATTCTGGGGCTATGAAGAATTATCATCTTGCTTTGATTTGCCGTGGTGGTGACCATCACCACATTGTGGAACAGTTTGCCCAATACACCCACCATATCGCCAGCATGACAGATCTTGTTCTCGAGAATCGCATCCAATTCGGTTGGCCTAATGTGAAAGTCGTGACCTCAACCCTTCCAGGCCTTGGAAAAACAGAAAGAATCAAAAGCGAAGCACTCAGCAAACGTATGAACGTCGCTACAGTCTCAATTAGCGGTCCCATCGAGCCAAGCAAACTTATCCAGCGTTTAAAGAGGCTCACGATCTATGAAGAATATCACTGTTTGCATTTGGACATTGTTGAAGTAAGTGATCCATTGACATTGGGCATATTCTTATTCCAACTGATTGTCACAGGAACGGTTTCAACTGGAAATCAATTCTATCATCTACCAATACCACACGTCTACATTGAAATAGCGAATACGTTCAAAAATTGTCTTCGGGAGTCAATGGTGATATTAAAGTACTTCACTCGTATTCATCTGGAGTGGCAGAATTACAAGAATCTTTTGGTCAGCCCTGAGATTACAAGTGATATTCAAGTTACTTGCCAGTATTTAGATATCTACGACCGATCATGCCTTGAATTAGAGGAATTCAGTGAATCAAAAGCGTCATTGCCAACTGGTCGTTGTCAAGAGCTTCTTGCCAAACATTATTCGTCCGATGCAGACATCAGCTTTACAACGCTCCACACGTTCCTAGGAGTTCTGGCTGATCAACTTTCAAGGTTATCCAACAGCACGTTTTTTAAACCTGCACAAATTAAAAATATGATTGGTGAAAACACTCAGGGTGTCCGCACAAACCTTTTTAAAGCACTTTTGAAAGTATCAAAAGAATTCGCATCCCGAGCCATAGCGATCTATCCACTTAGAGATCCAAAAAATTGCTCCCAAAAAGCGTCTGTGAAAATCTTTGGAGAATCGTCGATGTCAACTGGCAAATCAGCGAAAAACATGGTTGAACGAGTTGGAGGAATGATACAGTGGAAAGACAGCAACCATTTGATAGTCGTGTTTCATGGTCTAAATTCGCAATCAATCACTGCCATGTATCGGGACAGCTCGCTTGTTCCCGAAAGTGTGGAAAATTTGTTAAAGAGTCAAGATGTGAGAGGAACTGAGGATCTCGAGGACTTTAACGACTTCACTCAAGAACAACTACAAAGTAAGTTGGAAAGCGTTGTTTGTACGAAGCCAGTTGTAAAAAACAATTTATTCCCAAGTTATGCGTTGACTCCAGATAACATCCTCAAAATGATGTTAATCATATTACGGGTCCGTGCCAACGTTCCAGTTATCATCATGGGGGAAACAGGTTGTGGAAAGAGCAGTCTCGTTCGTTATTTGGCTAATACCTGCGGTGTAAAGTTATGTGAATTCAATTTCCATGCTGGAATAACAGAAGAAGACATCCTTACATTTATCAACCGGCAAAACGATAGCAACGAAGAAATGTGGATTTTCCTGGATGAAATAAACACGTGTGATCACTTAGGATTGATCAGTGATATTATTTGCCATCATTCCTTGCTTGGATGTCCATTATCCGAAAATCTTGTTTTCCTAGCAGCTTGTAACCCCTACAAGCTCCGTCCTGAAGGAGATTTAAAGACAGCTGGTCTCGAAGGCAAGAATATCACTGATGAGTATTCTGAACTTGTTTATCGTGTTCATCCACTACCTGAAGCTATGATTGAATATGTTTGGGATTATGGCTCACTAAACCCAGAAGATGAGCGAAACTATATTAAGAGAATGGTGAGAGGCCTGCCAGAGGAGTATAAAGAGATGCTCGTTGATTTGCTAGCTGCTTCTCAAAATTTCATTCGGAACGTTGAAAATAATTACTTTTGTGTCAGTTTACGGGATGTGAACCGTTGCATTCATCTGATTAAATGGTTTGAAGATATGTATAAGAAGCGTCAAGAACTCAAGGAAAAAAAGGTTGAATACCCCAGCCATCTTCAACAGTACCACTCGATTACACAACAGTACAAAAATGATTCGACGATAAAGAGTATTGTCCTCGCTCTTGCACATTGTTATTTATCCAGATTACCAACCGCAGAGTTGCGAAAGGATTACCGAGAAAGTATGATGGACATATTCAGCCAGAACAAGATACAAATGACCTACGATGCAAATGAAGACACTTTCGCAGCAATTGTACGTATGGAGGAAGAAGAATACTTACTTCGGATGGAACTCCCCCCAGGAACAGCAAGAAACGCTGCACTTCGTGAGAATGTGTTTGTTATGCTTGTTTGCATCTTAAACCACATTCCTATCTTCGTAGTTGGAAAGCCTGGCTGCAGCAAATCATTATCCATTCAATTGATTCGAAGCAACCTACGCGGACGTGATTCACGAGATCCTCTATTCAGACTGTTGCCACAACTTTACGTCGTCTCCTATCAAGGTTCAGAAGCGTCCACATCAGAAGGAATCATCAAAGTGTTTGAAAAGGCACGAAAATACAAAGACTACAACAAAGATGGAAATGTTTTGCCTGTCGTTTTGTTGGATGAAGTGGGATTAGCTGAAAATTCAAAATACAACCCTCTTAAAGTTTTACATAGTTTGTTGGAGCCCGGTAAAGGAAAATTTCCAGATGTTCCTGTTGTTGGTATTTCAAACTGGTCGTTAGACGCTGCCAAGATGAACCGAGCAATCCATCTGTTCAGACCAGAACCATCTATAGACGATCTGATTGAGACTGGCAAGTCGCTGACACTTGACAATAACTGCCAATACTTGGGGGAGAATGAGCTGAAATGTTTGGCCGAAGCGTATTTTGAGTATCAGACCCAACAAACCCATGCTAATTTCCATGGACTTCGTGACTACTATTCCCTGATTAAGAATTTGACTCGTGATAGTAATCAGGCGGGTATTGTTAACATTTCACTACAACGTAACTTTGGTGGTCTTCCTGGTGAAGTAACGAACATTCAGAAGATATTCCTACACAAGCTAAAGAACTTCATGACTTTAGGAGATCAGGAGATTTCTCCAGTGACCGATCTGATCCTTGCAAATATAAAGGATCCCAACGCTCGTCATCTGATGCTCATAGGCAATGGAGACTCGATCATTGATATTCTTAAGCAAAGTCTAGCTCAGCTTGTAAAGGAGACAATCACAATTTTTGGCAGTCGTTTTGAAGAAGACCTGTCTGAGGACTACAACTACAGAATTCTAAGTCGTATTATTCTTTGTATGGAGAGAAATTGCATTCTAATATTAAAAGATCTCGAAAGCATCTATGGAAGTCTTTACGATATGTTAAACCAGAATTACACAGTGGTGGGTAAAAGGAAAAACTGTCGTGTAGCTCTTGGGGCCTACAGCAACCCAATGTGCCAAGTGCACGACGAATTTCGTTGCATTGTGCTCATTGATGTTGACAAAGTGGCTTTTTCTGATCCGCCATTCCTTAACAGGTTTGAGAAGCAACTTTTACGATATTCTGATGTACTGACTGAGGAACAGCGGAGTGTTACCTCAAAGGTCTCTCGTTGGGTCGATGGAATGTCTACAGTGAAAGGTTTGGAAGCACATTTTGACGAAACAGATATGTTCATTGGTTTCCACAAAGACACCATCCCATCCCTGGTTTTATCACATAGTCATGACACAGATAGCTCAACAGACATTTTGAAGAAATGCAAAGATGACTTGATGTGGGTTGCCTCACCTGATGGCGTACTTCGAATGCAAAAATGCAACTTTTCGACAGAAGATCCCAACGAGGTGCAAGAATTACGTCATGAATATTTCAAGAAACCACTTCATCATGGTTTTAAGGCCTTCATTGAACATGTAATGTCCAACGACCAAAAATCATCTTTCTTTGCTGGCGACGAGATTGGATCCAAAACGGTTGTTATGACTTTTGCCAACATTCACACAGACATCAGTCAGTGTTTGGACAACAGCGGGAAATGTCAAGTTGAACGACTGAGTGCGTATAGATCAGAGAAGCAGCTCACAGACAAAATCAATGAATTTTGGAATTCGTCAGAAAAAGAATTGTTGGTTTTGCAGTGTAAATCAGATTTAGATAGAAGGCATCTTCTCCACGCCCGTTTCACCATTGAAGAATCTAGAATTTCTTACAAACAAAGTTTATATAAGAGGGATAATTACGGACACAAACACGTTTGTATCGTAATGCACGTGAGACGTGGGGTGAATGGAGATGACATCTCGTGGCAGTTTGGTTTCTTGTGTGGCTGGCGACAAGTGTTCCTTGACGTCCTTGAAGCTCCTCAGGTTCCACTAAGTAAAAATGTCGATGGAAGTATCCAGAGTTTTCTAATATATAGCAAATGGTCCAGTAGCGAGATTGCTGTAGATTATCTTTCGTGGTGTTTAACCAGCATCAAAAATACACAAAACCAACGAACTTTGGACAGTGTTTTGTACAACTGCAAAAATCTTTTCAATTCAGAAGAAGTTTCCCAAGCCATCGTAACACTCATCTTGCAATCGATAGATTCAAATGCCCACCAGCAAGATCAAGAAAGTCACCAAAAAGAAAATTGGCAAGTTCATGTTGCTTGTGACCGTCAGTTATTAGTCAATTCATCCACGCTTCACTGCGCAATTGAGCAGTATGTCAAAAGGTCAATCCAAAATCTTTTAGCCAGAATTGTTTATTTCCTAGAGGAAAAAAATGCTCGGCCCCCTCATTTGTCTCGCGACTCCACTGAAATCCTAGCCCGAGACCTAACAAAGTTGTGGTGTAGTTGTTTGGTGGACAACTCCATCGTTGGAATTTCTGACATTTTAGAACATGGAGGAAACCAAACGAGTTGGAAACTCGATCTTTGTCTACCTTTCAGCCAAGTAGTAGCTGGAAATGTTAACAGCTTTAGGGAACAATTCCTTGATGATTACCGTTTACTTATGACGAACGAAGAAAATTTTGGGGAAGATGGGAAGTTAAAAACGACGGTTCAAAAGGAACAACTGAAAGCGTTTGCTGTAAAGATATCAAACTTGGTTGGTTGCTATACTTCTGACTGTCACTATTTGTACATGGAGGATCTTGTTGACGTTGTAACTGCCGAATTTAGCCAAGTGTTATCTCGTTCTCAGCGAGTATCCATTGCACAGATTAAATTCATATCAGAATTCGGGCAGAATTTGCCAGCGAATGATATGGCTGAATTTTGCACAATTCTCCATGGCTTTTTATGGATTCATCAAGAAAAGATAATTGACCTGCTGAAAATGGTTGATCTGTGCAGGTCATTTATAGATCTTAAAATTCTGAAAAGTTTAACTGATGGTCCTTACCAAACCTCAAAAAAGGTTTTGTTTGTGAAAGAGGAAAGAAATATTTCTCAAGAAGAATCAAGTGCGCAAAAAGGTGAAAAGATTTTGCCTGACGGTTCAATTGATGTGAGACCTGGGACAGAGGAACTTGAAACAGATGAAACTGAGTTTAATTGCGACGACGAATTGAAAGATGATGAAAAGGCAGAAGAAAGTAAGCTGGATGACATAGAGCTGAAACTCGAAGGACAACCAGACGACAGTGAAGAAGATTCTGAAAGGCTCGAAGACATCTTAGTAACGGCGTATTGTGAGAAAATGTTTCCTTCTGTGGAAACTGTCGATAACGATCTTGAAAAGTGGAAGCAAGGAGCAACCTTGGTTCTTTCATCGGCAGTCAAAGTTAGTCAATGCGCCCCAGAATTCCATTTTTTACGTTTGTGCGTTGACTTCTCAAGGATCGTCCCGAATAATCCTTTACTGCATACTCTAAGTGACATTGGCAAAGCTTTAAGTCCAAAATACCTGGATCACGAGGAAGCATTCGAAAGGATAACTGATGAAATCATTAAACCAGCAAAAAAAGAAGTGAAGGATGACGAAGATAAATACGAAGCATTACAGAAATTCTCATCTCTGTTTTATGGCCGTTGTATTGATACGAATGTTGATACTTGTGGTGCTTCTCCGATAGTGAAACATGTTCTGTCATTGAAGAAACCAGAGTTGGTAATGATGATGAGTCCCGTTATTCTACGGCTACTTATGGTGGAAGAAATGCAGTCTCCAGGAATATTTATGAGATTAATCCATCAACCAAGCGCTATGGAGAACTGTCCTTGTCTTGAGATTATCGACGAAGTATTGAAAGATTGTTTCTCGAAAGGTTCGATGCATCACGATTCCTATCCTGCAGTAATGATATGTGATCTAATTCAAACTCTGTTAAATTTCGATCGTTTGAAAAACGGAAACAAAATAACTGGCACATTTCGTTTCGACGAGGTAAAAAGTCCTGATTGTGAGGTTCTTGAGCTTGCTAAACTTGCTATAAGAGTCGTATCCCAAGACAACAAAGGCGAAAGTGGTTTAAAGATTTTCTCAGCAGTAGCATTTCTCAGAAAACTCTTTACAATGTTAGCAGAGTTTATTGCTAGAAATCCCCGTGCTGTAATTGAAACGAAAGGAAGTCCACATGCTATATTGATGACTGAAATCGATTCACTACTCAGGAATCCCAAAACTCCATTACAATTGTTCTTCATGAAACAACTCCACAAGCACTTTAGTCTTTTCGATATAAAAAAGTTGTTTGAAACGGACAGTGTTCTCCCGACAATAACGAAACTATGGAGCGATGAAAAGATTCAAAACAAGGCGGTATTTACATCTGTAGTGATGTACCCAGAGTATAAAGAAGCAAAAGAGGCCTATTGGAAATCTTTATCAGAAGACGACAAGCAACCTATGCAGAAATTCTTAGATGAATGTAGAACTTCTAAAAATCGTGCTTTTGCTCTTTTTGGAGTTCTTATAAACAATGTCTATTTGAAACGTGCAGTACAGACACTCGAGGACAAAGAAGAACAATTAGTCAAGTTCATTGAAGAAACCCTTTCGCGTTGTCGTGATTCGTTGTTGTCTTATGAACTTTTGTTGAGAGTTATGGGCCGTCGTCATTTCAATTGCGAGCAACTTCAACTGTCGCCCGAATCGTCGGTAGAGAATGTAGAATTGGCGTTATTAATTCTTCACATTGCCTGGGTCGTGTCTAGTGTCCCATCTAGACTACATCGTGTTTTTGTACAAAAAAGTGACGAGACAAGTTTCATATCTGTAGATCTACTATCAGCCAAAGAATCAGTCCGTCTTACATGCCCATGTGGACTAAGGTTGGCGTTTGGAAGCAAAGTCAGTGAAAGAGTGTGTCCAAATTGTCACAATGTCTGGAAAAACGAATCAATAGCCAGTGAAAATTCATGTCTTAATTCGGATCCTCGCACAAAAAAGGCAAGTCCAGCCGTCCATCGTGCACTACACCTCATCAGCTACTTGTGTGACTACTCTAGATTTGCTCTTGAAACAGCAACTAAACATGGTCTATCCAATCCAATCAAATTGGATTTAGATCCCGAAATCGATCCCGAAAACCATTCTGCAGCTTGCTTTAAAACTATCAGAACTGACTTATCTGATCTAATGAAAATTCTTAGTTGCAAGAAAGATATCGCTATAAAAACCATGCACCTCGTGATTGAGGAAACGTCGGATCTTATCGAAAAGAAGTTTCTTAGAACAAACGACTTCTCATGGGAACACGATTTTTCCAAACGTACTCAAAAAGTGTTTTTGAAGGCGCGAAATTTGTCCGTGGGAATCAAAGAGATGATGAAACTACAACAAACAGAGGACAGTCAAGAAAAAGTTACTCTTGAATGGCGAATCTTAGAACTTGACGAGTATCCTGAACAACAAAAAGAGCAGAACCAGCAATTAAAGAGATTATTTCGTGAGACGAAGCAACCGTCATTTGAAGATTTTCTTTCAGCATTTCTGCACTCTCCCACAGAGGTTCAATCAAAGCACAGTTTCTTGGCTTTGTTCTTCGCGAAGTTCGACCAGCTCTTGGTCATTGGCTATCTTCATCATCTGCTGAAATGGTCTCGTCTCGTATCATCAGCATTGACCCACCGCATTAGTAGGAAAGATGCGCAATCTAAGTCCATCGATGATTTCATCATGGACTATTTCCCGGAGTCAGAACGGACCCCACAGAAAACAAACGGCTTGAACCAGCTGTTCAATAGCTTCAAGGAAGCATGGAATAAAATGTGTCCTCTGGTTGATCAAAAACTTGCAGACAAAACCCAAGAAAAAATGCCCCATATACAGAAGATGGATTGCTTAGCGTACTGTTTAATGGAAAGTGACTGTGGTATTTATCTTAGCACGGCTATCGAAATACTTGTCTCTTACCAAAATTCTATTTTAGATTTCATGCTTTCTATTTCTTCCCATCGCCATCCAGCTCTACATGCACTGGAAAAGCGCAATTGCAGTGGCGTCGCGTGCGTTACAATTCAAAATGTTAAAGAGAAGGAAATAATCAGTTTCCAATGGTCTGATGACGTGTTCAGATTCGCGCAAAACAATCCCGAGTATGGAAGAGGCCAAGAAATCACCTACGATTTTGAGAGAATAGAAATAGAGCTGGCAGCTAAAATTGCGTTTGGAAAGTGTTACTTGACTGGAACATTAAACGAGTTCATTTTCGCAAAAGAATTGTTCCACACTTGCGGTCGGTTGCTGACAGAGATTCGAGAACGAGTGACGCAGAACGATGAACTTCCCGAGGATGTGTGTAAAGGATTAGATGCCATGAAAGAACAAGGGATGAAGAGAGTCCAAGATCTTCTTCAGCAAATCGAGGTAGTGATGTATCTTCTCCAAAGCAAATTAAAGGATTTCGAGGACGAAATGACCTTGGAAGATCTCGCTGAGAAATGTTCAAAGATGTTACCAGGTCTTTTTCCGGTAGACCTGTTACCCGAACCCACAAGTTCGATTAAAGTAGGGCACGTTTGTGCTCTTTACGAAGCTCTTGAAGATATTCTTACTGATGGTGCTATCGAGGGAATTGCTGGAATATTTCGTGAACAGTTCCCAGATGACATGAGAGAAAGCGTTGACGATATGTTGAGCAAGAACGTAGATCAGTTTAAACCACCCAACTTCTTAAAAGTGTTGCGTCGCTTTGTGTTTCGCCATCTTTCATCTGGGACTGAAAGATACTGGCCTAAAGAAAGTACACCGTTACGGTCCTGTTTGAAAGAACCATCGCTATGGTCTCCACTTGAAGCACCAAATATGGACGAGATCCCGCGAGAAATTACTCTGGAATATACCCATTCAATGCTGAAGTATGTTGAAGCTAAAAAAGAAAAGCCAAACGAGGTAGGTATAACCAATTAAAGTATTGAAGAAGTGCAACCTTTGATACAATGTGACTGGTAATGTGGTATTTAATGTCAAATTCTGGGATGTTTCCGGCTTTTGAGTATATTACGTCACATCTCTATAAAACATGCCATAACTTTAGATTACTTCGTGGTTTTATCTATTACCTGGTTAAATCTATTACATGGTTATAACGGTATCTTTTACCGTTCAGTTTCGTTGTAAATTTGTTCAATAAAAGTTGGATATTCTTTCCGCAAGATTGTATAATGTGAGGAATGTGAAAATGTCTTGAATTTGAGAATCTCACTCCTATATTTCGACGCCATCTTGAAAAATATGTAAACAAATTAATTCCCGCCAAAATGATGTACCACAATTTTTTCACGGGTGAAGAATATCGTACGTCCAATCAAAAGCCGTGTATGGCATTTTTTCACATGTGAAAAAATCGTACGTCCATGCAATCAAATTCCATGAAGTTGATTTACAGTGAAGGACAATTTTTATTTCATCATTCTGGGGCCGTTTAGCTTAAACGGTGGATAAGTGCGACAGGTTTCAGGTCCACAAATGTGTCCTTCGTTCGCAGTAAATAAGTGTTAATTAAATAACACTTCTTACATCTCTCTGGAATGAGTCAACTTGAATATTATGCACTGAATATATAGTTGTATACAGTATCTTTGTATTAAGGTAAAAAAATGAAATGAATAAAACGATAGACTTGCTTTCTATTTTGAACTTATCCACCGTTTAAGCTAAACGGGCGTGATACAACCGCTCCCTGCTGTGCATAAATAATCTCTATACACTTATAATAAGAGTATTTTACTAGTTATTTATACTTTATAACAATACACTTACAATAAGATTTTTTTATGTAATTTCTTTTCAAGGTACAGAGAAGCAAAAGTACAAGTCAAGCAAATGTAAGAATGTCGGCTAGGACAAAGAAACGCCATCTTCAAAACTTTTCAAACGCATGAGGTGAAAAGGAATTTTTGAAAGCATCATAAATTTTAAAGTAGATGATATATTACACATTTTTAGTAATAGTTATATAATCAACATTTAATTGAAGACATGATAATGAAACAGTTCGTTCAGAATGGACGGAGACTAAATGATCGCTACAACCATGCATGCAGGGTAATTGTAGAAAATAAGTTGATTAGCACCTCACGTACGCGCACAAGGCCTTTTTTAACAAATAATTTTGGGGGCAAATGCTCCCCTCACTCTCTCCTTGTTTCCCTCCACGAATTTCTCTTTCCCCCCACTCCAGGAAAGGTTCATTTGGTGTGTAAATATTGGCCAAACGACCACGTTCAAAGATCAGAAGAACGTATTTTCATTCCCTTAACACACCAGGGGTGGATCCAGCACTAGTGCACTAATTTGCATGGCACAAGAAAACTGCTCAAAATAGCCATTTTCTTTTGTAATGTAAATTAGTGCACTAGTTCTGGATCCACCCCTGTAACAAACCAAGCTTTTAGATTGAGCACGTCAAAAAGTGTGCTCAAAAATGCATGAAATCAAATCAGAGAGTAAAGTTACCTGGGAAAGCACCTCCAGACCCAAACTTTTCCCCCAAACGTTTCCATTTAAATGCCTTTTGTTTATGCCACCCAAGAACGATTTCTTAAAAAAGGCATACGCACGCGCACTTATTATATATGCACCAAAAATAGCATAAACAAGCGTAAACTGTGCTCAAACAATTACTTTATATCATAGGGCTTTTGAATCATTTTTATTAATTAATTAATATCAGTTGCAACTTCATATATATCGCAGACATTTGATAATGTGATTTAGCCAAATATATGACATAATATTTCTCGTGAGCAGAAGCATTTGTCTGTTTTAATATGTACATCCAGATTTACGAGGATCTACGACGTAAAGACGACATATAAAGTCCAATGTGCATGAAAGTTTCAAAAGGCGCTCTCGTTTTTTCTACGCTGCAAATCACAGATTATCGCGTCTTTAAGTAGAACGCCGCGAGCATTCAAAGCCAATTCAGTCGCACTATACGTACGCAACGCATGCACACTTTACGACAGGAGTTTGAGCTAATTTTAAAAAATTAATAGATGAAAAAATTAAAAGATGAAAACCTTTTTAAAACAGCTAGAGGAAAAAACAATTTTTGAACGTTCAGTAGCTATGAAAAGCAGAGATTTATAGCTAAATGAAATATTGATGTTTTTGCATATATAGCGTCTGTTCACACCAAAACGTAAGGTATATATATATATATATATATATATATATATATATATATTAATATATATATATATATAAATATATTAAGGTTTATACCGACTGCAACTTATCTTGAGGAAAGAAGATTGAAACGGATTTTGCACTGGTAACTATAAAATTACAGGCTTCTTGCTGCCGTGTAATTTATGAAGCATATTTTCTAACTATGCAAAAAGCTGTGTGATTTTCAAGCATTGCCCATATGATAAATGGCATTTTTAACGAAACTATATATTCCAAACTTTCCGTTAATTAACTTCAGAATCTAATGGAGAGTTAAATATTCCAGCTGCAGGAAAATGTTTAGACGTGCGGTTGTTGAAGTGCTACTGCGGTCGTGAAAATGTGTCAGTAGTTACGATAATCAGATTGCACTGGGTTACGGCAGGACGTGACATGCATGCCCTTCCTTAATTGTAATGCCACCAGCGAAAATTATCCTCATTGCCGTTGCAAATACCTTTTCGTTCTTAATCGTCAGAAAGACACGCAGGAAAATGTCACAAAAATGTTCTAGAACAAACACGTAATTCTAAAGATTCCAAAGCAGTCAAACATTTCAGAAATTTCAAAAACATTTCAACACGTCTGATTCAATTTTAATAAATTGAATTACACGTTTTTACTTTGTGGTAATCTATAACTGGCTATATGACATGAATAAACTGGCTATATGACTAAATCTACGTTTCAAGGGCATGCATTCCGATTTGGGGTTCAATCATTTATCGACGAAGCTATATCACTGAGCACATATCGATCGACGAAGCATATATCACTGAGCACCGGGACAGAAGGACTAAACGTTTACGACTAAAATGCTGAAAAGTTAAAGTAAGCAGGAGTTTAGAAGAATAAAGGCGCTTTCTCGCAATTTTTCTGGCAACTAGTCCTGCAAAGCCTTTTGGGGGTCAAACTGCATTAAGCCAATTATGATTTATGCGTGGCTTGATGCAATTTGTCTCGAACAGATTTTGACGATTACAAATGCAAAGCATGCTTGACGGTGCAGACTTGTGCAACTTTTTGCAAAGTTCTCAATTAGGTTCAATAGTATTCATACACCCCGTATCACAGAGTTTTTCCAGATTCTATAAGATGTTTAATGGTGCTTTTCAATGGATCATAGTTATTAGCGTTTCCAGGAGACTGCTCTTTTAAACTGACTACACGCCATTTATCGCCACGGTTTGTCAAACAACACATGATGATGGCTTCTGATTTAACATCATTCTTCTTCGTATCATCATCATTCTTCTTCGTATCATCATCATTCTTCTTCGTATCATCAGCATTCTTCTTCGTATCATCAGCATTCTTCTTCGTATTATCACACAGTTTCTTGTTTGGATCCCCCGCATTGTAAAAATTCAGGCATGGTTTTAGGTATTTTGAAACATCTGGGGAATCTAGCACTCAAGGTAAACACCAGTCGATTAACTTCGGGTGGAATTGATTTTATGGACACAGTTATGGTGTGGTGACCAAGCTTGTCTTCATCTTTCATGACATCCCCGGAATGTCTGACTGCTGAGCTGCATTTGCTTGTTTTATTGCAGTAGTTGACCACTTCTTTAAATTCAGAGTTGCTGTAGAGGAATACAGAAGCATCAAGATAGTCTCATCACGATGATGCATGCGGCGTTTAAATTATAAGAATGGATTAATTTCTAAAGGTCTTCTTTTTTTAATGCACCTTGTGTATGATCAGCACATTTGACGATTGTAAGGCATTTAAATTTGTAGACCATTGTAGATTTCGATTGCCAGTTATGTTGAGCTTCTTTAATTTTTCAAAACCAATTAATTTAAGTTTTTCTAGCCTCTCATTATGGGATAAGTTTAAAGTCTTCAGATTTATCAAGGTGTGATTCGAATTATTTAACGAAACATATTCGAGAAGGTTCCCAGTTAAGTCAAGTTCCTCCAGCTTGTCCATTTTCAAAATATCACGAGGAATGTACGTAAGTTTGCATTCAATAACTGATAACTTTCTCAGCTTCTTGAACTTGTTGAAATATTTAAAATCTTCATTTACAAGTGGACAGCATTTTTCTAATATAAGTTCCTCACTGTTTTCAGTGAGGTGAAATATTGTAAGAGGAATTCCCGGAATACCCATTAACTCTAATATGGGGAGAGGTTTTTTCAATCGCGTCTTAAATCTTTCAACGGGCCAAAGACTTGTTAAATCATATTGCTGCAGCTTTTTTAGGTACGCCGCAAAACGAACTGCATATAACTTATTGGAATGGTGCAACAGATGGAACAGGAATTCCAGGTCATCTTTCGCCCGATAAGAAGTGAAATCCTCAATTGGAAGCTTTTCTCTGGTAAGCTCATATTGACAATTCCAGCACATTTTGAAACCAGTAGACACGAAAGTGCCGCCAAAAATTAAAAAGCTGAAGAGTAATGCTCCAGTATATATATACAAGACAACAACGAGACCGCTAGCAAGGCGATGTGAACAAATGAAATATTCATGAGGAACAGGGATGTGTATATCATCTGTTAATGTACAGGTCATATTCTGTTTCAAATTTTCTAGCCTAACCAAACTGCCGATGTTATATGCAAAGAAACCAATGGCAAACACTGATTGTAATCCACTTTGACACAGATAAAGCCTCCTTATTCCGATAATTTTGTGAGATGTTTCCATGTTATGTTTCAATTCCTTAACCTTTTCAAGTAACTTCTTCTTAGCACTGTCAGTTTCAAAATGATCCATACTTATACTTTGCAATGCCTCGTTAATCTCTGGAGGACTTTCCTTCTGGTTTGTGGCCATATCAATATCCAATATTTTTGTTAGTTCTATTTGAGAGACAGGGGACCTAAAACATTCTATTACTAGCATGACGAAATTTTCAATAAATGACGCCGTAGTCGGGAGTTTTAGCCACAATTCACCCAGAAAAAGGAGTACTAATGACTGACCAAGCAGTAGAATGTGAATCCAGGACAGCAGGCCTTTGCTGCATTCAGAATTAACAAATCCAGCATACTGGAGAGATGTTTTCGTGTCCGTAATTACATGAATATTTACTGTATTCCTGGAATTCACGGAACTGTATATTTCTTTACATATATTATGGTATTTCCAGGAGGTGTTTGACAAACCCGGACATCCAACAGCAGGCAAGCATTCGAAACTACCAAACGCAACTTGCGTAGCAGCGTATAATAAAGATAATAAGACCAAGAACTTCACAACATACTCAGCCAGCACGATCCACACAGGCTTCAGAATTCTGTGCTTCGTTTCTTCAATATCTATACTTAAAATATCACTCCATGACAACATTTCTTAACGTTTATTAACGAAAAAGGACCTGAACTCAATATTTATGGCTGTGCATTCCAATTGATTATGGCAACTAAGGCTATAGCAACGTTATTTGTATTAGGAATGAAGCAACAAGCTGACTGACCGCAGCGCATTTTTGAAAAGAAAAATCGATTCTTCCCATGAGAACTACGTACATGCAGATTACGGCCGTCTTTGGCCGTTGTATTAGCTCATTTTCCTAACCGTAGATCCGTGGAGCTGCATTTTTTTCCAAGCTTAGCCTATATGGAGAATGGAATTTCCATTTTTTCCCTATGAAATTGGGAAACCAATTGGGAGGAAAATATTCCCAAAGAAAAAAATATTTAGGCGTGCGGTTTTTGGAATGATTGCGTGAAGTGATATACCACCTGTCGCCGGATTGTGCCAGCAATTAGGCCTGATTCACACTTGTCCTTGCGATGAAAGCAATAAGCGTCCTTCTGAGTGTCCTTTTTTCGTGTTATTTTTTTGTAATTTATGCGGATTGCAGTGTTAATAAAACCCAGGAATTGACTAAACCACTGCCAGGACAATCAATAATGTGAATTACCTCATTATCCCAATGCCTCAAAGAGATTTTACGAGCACTCCTTTATGTTGGCTAAACGCGATCATTTATTTTTGCTAGTCCAACGCTGTACCAGGCCTGTTCGATTAGTTTCTATTTAAAAACGAATCCATTCTCTGATTTCTCTTCGATATGGTTTGTGGTGTTAATGCACTCTCCATTCGGAGCAATCTTCCAGCTCAAGATCAAGGTGGTGTAGCAAATTAAGGTCGAAAAACCAAAATTTTGCGCGGCAATATTGCAACTATGAATGGCTAAATCAGAGCTGATTTTAAGAAAGAGTTTTAAATTTTTTAAAATTGTTTAAAAAGCGGTATACATTTAGAGATATTTTTGTTTGTCATAAAGTTACGGCAGGATGTTACATGTAGCTATTAACAGCAACATTGAAAATTATCCTCATTGACATTGAACATAATCGTATTTGTTCTTTTTTCGGCCAGGCATGCAGGAAGTATGGGCCGCAAACACAACACGAGCAAATTTCAATCGCCACAGTCCTACACGTATTTCTCGCCAACCGATCAGTTCTGAGAAATTGTTCTAAGAGATGTAGACTTTTCGGGGTTTTCGATAAAAACCATGTTTTGTCACATGTCTAATTCAATTTTAATTAAGAAAATTGAATTACGTCACGTTTTTCTCCGAGTTGGCGCGGAGCGCCTGCGACTGGGAAATCAATTACACTCGGGTACAATGACAGAACATAGCGGAATCCAAAGTTGCCGAAATTCTATGTCATGGATCATGAACCATGAGCGTTCAATGGTCATGGTACTTGTGCGCACGCGCAAAATTTGAACGAGTGAAGAATGGTAATTAGGAACTTGCTGATTGGCTAAGATGAAACGTTTGTGTTTCAGTCACTGGTTTCAGTGAAAAACGTCAGCAATCTAACTGTCATTTTGAAAACTACTTTTAAAAAAATGTTTCGAAAACACAATATGAAAGAGTTTAAAATATTATCAGAACTGGAAGAGTTAACAGTGAAAACGAACAACTCGTTGTTTATAATCCTTGAAATGGTAGGAGTCTACTTTGTTTATTTCGAGGTTTATTTCGTGTTTGCTGTACATTCATGACCTTCGTACAGAATGTCGTTTTGCTCGCTTTTGCGAAGACATAACCGACTATTTAAGGTTTACATCATCGTTTTAACTTAAAAGCGTAACTTCGGAGTTTTGATATCACAAATATATCACTTTCAAGCTTTTATAGAGTCGACTGCAATCACCGCATGAATTCAACAATCGAAAAACAACATTCGACGTTTACTGCTTGGTTATTTATATTATTTATGTTGTTTTCACGTTTTGAAGGTTTAGTTATAGTGAAGTATTAACTCTCACTTGAACTGTGAAAGTCTATAACTTCATGCAACGTAATGCAGCAAGAAAAAGGGTGATTTCACTTCATCTTTAATTTTAATACGACTGTGTTTGTTTCCGAAAAGTTTGAAACATCAGCTACCGGCTTTACATTTTATAATAGGTCATTTCAAAATATTGAAGGTTAGGTCTGGCTAGCTCAGGAAATATTTTGCTTCGTTTGAAATGGGGAGGGGTTGCTGCATGCATGTATTTCTAGTACATTGTAGTAAACTATAATAACGGGATATGTGCATGAAGTAAACATAAAACTATATGAATTGATATATACTCGGCCTTATACCATTGATATACGCCTTAATTAATTGTGGTTCAGCACTGATGAGGGTAAAGTTCTCATTTAGGTTTAAATGTTATTTACTACAGCATTTTCCCCGATTCTATAAGTTGTCTAATGGTGTTCTTTAAAGGACCATAATCCTTAGCGTTTCCAGGAGACTGCTCTTTTAAACTGACTACACGCCATTTATCGCCACGGTTTGTCAAACAACACATGATGATGGCTTCTGATTTAACAGCATCCTCCATCGTATCATCACACAGTTTGTTGCCTGGATCCCCTGCATTGTAAAATTCCAGGCATGGTTTTAGATATTTTGAAACATCTGGGGAATTCCTAGCACTCAAGGTAAACACCAGTCGGTTAACTTCGGGTGGAATTGATTTTATGGACACAGCTATGGTGTGATGACCAAGCTTCTTTTTATCATCCATGTCATCCCCTGAATGTGTGACTGCTGAGCTGCATTTGCTTGTCTTATTGCAGTAGTTGACCACTTCTTTAAATTCAGAGTCGCTGTAGAGGAATACAGAAGCATCAAGATAGTCCTGAGTTCTAAACCAATCCAAATTTAGCAATTCGAAAAACCAATTTCTATGTGGATATCCCCAGAAAAGATCAAAGATGACTTTATCAAGTTTCTCAGGAATTGCATACAATAATATCACCAGGTATATTTCACTATTGGGCTTGACATCATAATCTCTTAACTTTAAATCTTTGTCATTCTTATCACTTATCTAAAAAAACCCAACACACACTGTGAACACAAAATCATGGTATCAGGTATTCATCTGGTACTTATGACCTCCAAGAAGTGCTATATTCTATATGTGGTTACAATCAGTATGCACAAGGTTAATTTGAAGCCGATCGAAACAGAAAGAGGAACAGAAGAATTTTGTAATTTGTAATAGGAATGGCATAGCAAGAAATATGGTAGCAGGTGTTAAATCTTACTCTGATTTACTTTTATTACCCCCTCCCTTAAACAACTAAAATGTTTGAGGTATGTTCTAGTTTATTCCATGTAGTACTACACATGCTTTCATAAATGACTTTTAAGCTGACAAACATTGCATATACATTGAATATTATTCCCTAAAAAACACTATACCTTCAACTCCACATTATTGTATAACAGACATTGCTTCTTCAAAGGAATCTTGAATTTTTTTTCGACAAGAGATTTCAAATCAAAAATTGTTTGGTTTGGGTCATAAACAATTATAATGCTCTCTCCAGCCAGAGTAGTTATAACAAGTGGAACACCACCAACCACTGTTGGTTCAACCACTGTTGGTTCAACCACTGTTGGCTTCTCACAAAAAAAAAATTCCAAAGCCTGGACATATTTTATGTAGTTTGGGTTGTCTTCAGTAAAATCACAAGCACTTGTTCTTATCTTTTACTGATTTGTTGCACACTATATTTAAGCAATGAAAAGAATTCTTCTGTTGAGCAGTGCGGTTGTAGTACACTAGGTGTTTCTATGAACTGTAGAATGGACTGTAGTATATCTTCCAGTAAGATTAATCACAAGAGCATTTGGGGATGGATGGCGTTTACAATTGCATCATCGTGTAAAATATTAATAGACACTCCGTCATCTTCAGGCTTCTCAACTTTGAAAACAGAAACTATGGAAACTTGATAACGATTTGCAGTGTTTATTTCTTTATATTTTATCAAATTCTGCTATGTACGCTACAAAATACATACCTAATATTAGACGTCCTCAATTTAACTACGTACTATATAGTATTCGAGTTTAGTTTTATATACGTACCCTAAGACAATGCAGCAATGGATGTTGTCTAGTACACTGCTCTGTGAGATGCTCGTGTGGAAACTCTTTCGATAACTTGTCTTCATGACAACAATGGCAACTCATTTCTGGAATTGATAACGCGTATATGGCCCGAGAGAGGAATCACTTTTGGCAAGTGAATATTCCTAATTAATGTAGAAGTTGCCAGCAAATTATTACAGCGAACTCACGAAAGTCGAAATATGCATCAGAATTCACAATAACAAGATCGACAGAGTGAGCCGGTGAGGGCTATTTGACTATTTCAGATCCGTCGGAATCTGTCAGAGCCAGTGACTGCCGCAATCTCAATTTCAGGATTTTCCGCGCGCGTCCGAAAAGGCCTGATTACTAGATGGTCTAACAGATCTGAAAAAGCGAAATAGTCTCCACCCGAAAAATACCCCAAACACCCCCGCGCGCTCGCTTTTTTTCAGCTGACCTCTATACAATATTTGAATGCAACGCTATATATTTTACTACTAAAGGCTGCCCCACCCCTTGTTCTGCTTTTGATGTCTCGTGACATGTATTTCGAAGACGCTCAACAATGAGGAAGCCTGTGCAGAAGAAAAACGAGGTTTTTATCGACTATTTAACGCAGGAAGATCGACACTGAAGGTGCTACTTCTTTGTTAAATGTTGCATGAACAGTTGATGTTTTTATTTATTTGATATTCTTAGCTACTTTAGGATATTTCAGCATACAATGTTGTTTGTGTTGCTGTTTACCGGCTACGATTTTTAAATAACTCTTACGGTTGAGATTGAAGTGACTCTCTAGCTATAGTGCAAATTAACGTTGCAATCTTGCATGTCATTGCAAAGCTTCCGGACATAAAGATTATGTCATATTATTAAAGTAGAAGCGTTGCAAACCTAAATATGTTGTATGTATTCAGACAGCATATCGTATTACAAAAAGGATAGAATTTCAAAATCTAAACATTCCGTTAGTTGGCATACGGGTATCCTTCGCTGACTGGAATTCGTGCTATAAAAACTTTGGTTCATATTTAGCTGCAAGTAAACCCTAGAGCTTACAATAGCGTGTAATAGTGTGTTCACTAATGTATTATTTAAATGGTTCATGTTGTTTATGCGCGTAGCAATACGTAGCGATCTATATTATGAAAGTAGTACCAAATCCACCATAAAACTTAACATAAAAATCTCTTACAACTCGTTTTTTTAACGGTATAAGACGAACTGCGCCATAATTTGGTTTGCGATTAGTTCAAATGTTTGGAGATACGATCTTCAATGAGCGTCGCATCGTGTTGTGACTCTCCAATGAGCGTCGCATCGTGTTGTGACAGTACATCATACCCTATGTTGAAGCAGGCCCTGCCCCTAGGTAACAAATTAGCCGATTGCTTTTAGTAAAATATAAAATATATTTCGCGCTATAACACACTTGCGACGACGAATAAAAATAACAAAAAAACAAAACAAAACTTGATTATCGTATCGGCCATGACTATCGTAATATTTCAGTAAATACTTTTTTAGCACTACCCAACCGGCCGTACGTCTAAATTGATCCATCCCTATTTGTATTAAAACGGATTTTTACAGACAAAATTCCTGCCTAGACTACGCCGACGAGTTTCCCGTCCTTAATATGAATTCGGCTTAGACCATTTGAAATATTTAAGTGTCAGACACAGTGGAGATAGTTCGCAAAACACATTTTGTGCGAGAAACAGTGAAATTTAATATCTTAAATTAAATCTTCGCCTAAGTTGAACTATTTTGACTTGGTTAGGCGAATGCATGCGACATTCATCGATATTATTGTGCTTCGACTTTGCAGCCATTCATCCGAAACAGGCTACAAACAACTAGACCCAAACCAATGAACCAAACACACATAGCATAATTCTTATAGCCAGAATAATGGCAGCCAGGCCAATACATTGTTTCTTGTTTCCCAGAACACGATCGGCCAACCTGTGAAATCGGTTAATCGGGGGGAAAACGCTTGGCAACTTATTTTTAATCTTACTTATGGCCATGACTTTGTCCTGCTGATAGGACAGGAAACAAATCATACGGATCCAGAAACACTATATAAATACAATGACAAATATGCATATTTATCTGGTACTAAGGTGGTGTTATACTATGTAACTTTTCTTGCAACTTGCAACGCAATTCTACTTCTAAGGCATCTGAGGCTGACAAATGCGAACATTTCTCACGATCTGCTAACGTTTTCTTTGCATTTCGAACACTCTTTACAGGCTTTACAAACTAACATCCCTCAAAATTCTAATTGCATTGCAAGTTGCAAGGAAAATTGCATAGTGTAACAACATCTTAACCAATCCTGCTGGCACACTTTGAAGAATATTGTGCCTGTAGAGTGTAATAGACAATATGTAGCTATATCTTGTGACTTTATGCTTCTTCTCGTAGCTGTAAATAAAAAAAACGCTCCCGGAAAGACGGGAAAGTTTTGTATTACTTTTGCAGGAAATTTCATTTTCATTTTTTCATTTTGCCGCCAGGAAGCGGTAGGTGTAGCCCGCTATTGGGTTTGCTTTTAGTTAAATATTTATATAACCAAGGAGCAGCGTGGCAGCGTCTTCAAACAACTTAGCATCAAATGTGGTATAACAACTGCCAAAATAGACGAAACACTTCTCGACGTTCCAACCTGAGGGCCTTCGTCAGGAGAGTTAAAGGACGTGAACGCGACGACGACGGCTATCAATACAATGGGTTATTGAAAAGAAATGAATATTTTAAAGACCCATGCTGGGTTTTAGGCGTCGTCTTCGTTCTGTTTACAACGGGAAAACGTCGTTTTTTACGTCGTGGCTACAACGGTGTTTAACACAATGTTTTTAACGCCTTATATCTCACTAAATCGGTACAATTAATAAAATACAACAACCACTTTGCCATAGCATTTATTTAAAGGAGAATTTCAGCCGCGTCGTATTCGTGTTGCCGTCCAATATGCTTAAAGTCCCTACTAACTCTCCTGACGAAGGCCCTCAGGTCGACACGTCGAGAAGTGTTTTGTCTATTTTGGCAGTTGTTATACCACATTTGATGTTAAATATTTATATATGCATTCTATGCACAACGACATGAAGTATCACCTTCCATAATTCAACTGCAGACATATTATCGCAGGCGCTACTTCGTGCGTTGCAGTGTAATGTATTATGTATAACATATACGACAGAAACTCTTGTGATGGTGAATGCTTCCTAATTTTCTATGCATTCGCATGTACATTTCATTGACATGCGCAAGAAGTATGTGTTTTTTTATATGGATGGGGCTATTTTACTGAGAACCAAAACACTCGTAGAACTCATATTACGCGTATTTTCCGTATGTCACGTTTAGGGGTGACATAACGAGTTTAAAAAATTTTCCCGCCATTTTCATTGCTGTTGTTATGAAAATACAAATGGCCTTTGGTTCGTATATAAAACGAAATTAACGTTGGATATACAAACGAAGGCTTAAAAGACATCCTTAGATAAGTAAAGTTTATTTTACTTTAATTTTAAGGTTATAATTTGAAAAGTATTCGTTTTTATAATGGTCTTCCACGGCTTATTTACTTGTCGTCTTTGTGTGTATTTTTGTCACTCTGAATTTAGTCCATATAATAAACAGAACATTACACGGTTTGCTCGAAGATATGGATTTTACAATTCTTGTGGTTCATTCCTGAGAAAAAAGTGTTTAGAGTCAATAAAGGTTAGAGATAATAAAGGTTTTGCATATAAGTTATGAGACACAATACAATGGAACAATAAAGGTCAGGGTAAAATCCTAATTAATAAAATGTTTTGTTTCTTGTGTTCTTGATACATTTCGAAGAAAAAAATATCCAAGATCGATTAGGGAGACCTCTTAGATTGCATCCCTTAAATGTTTCTATATTAATAGTAAGAATCGTAATTTTGTTGTAGTGAACCATCTTTAATAAACTATTGTCGATCAGTATTATGCAAATAAAACCTAATCGGTTCTAGGAAAAAAACAAGGAATTACATCTCAGCTATGTACATAAACAAATTTTGAGAGATAAAATATTAAGAGATAGAAAGCAAAAAATAACAATCATAGCTGGCAGGTTTGCATGGTTAAAGAAAAATCAACTTTCGACAGAAATTCGAACGTTATCTGAAAAATTGCGAGTTCCTTATGAGTATAATAATTAAAAAATATTTTCGGAAGGTGAGGTGAATAACGATGAATAAAATCGAGACGAAGTCGAGTTTTTTATTGCATTTATTACCTAGGCGAATAATTGCGAATAACATGTTGTGGACATATTTATTTACCTGCGTAAAACAAATATCTCGACCGTTTACAAAAAATAAGTTTAGAAATTGAATTTTGGCCTGAATTTGCCAAAGCTTCTTTTGCTAAATAAAGATCTTTCGCCCTCTATTGATGTTAGGAACCAAGATCCAACGTTTAATTTGTAGAGATATAATATTTTTGGCTATTAACACCTACCTATTGGTATAACTAAAACGGTTATCAGTTTTTTCTGATATTATTTTTATTTCAGCTCCATGTTGAAAACGAAAAAATTCTGAATGGCAGAAGCATTTCCCGGAGCTGGAAAGGCTTTACCTGCTGGCAGAAAATTTAAGATCACCATCGGCGGAGACAAGATAGGAGTTCTGTATACTGATAATAGTCTAATTAGGGAATTAATCAGCTTAGACGTTACAAGAAGAGTTGATGGCGACATTGAAAATGTCCTTCTGGAAGTTTTCGAAATTCGACCAGGAAGTTTGCATGTTGAGTTACATTGTTTCACAGACGAAAGGTTTCTGGAAGTCTTTGCGGATTACGAATCAGGAAGGATGAAGGAACGATTGCAGGAAGAATTTTCTCGGGTTGGAATTAAAGTGGAAGGACTGAAGGTGAAGATTGAAAACATGGAGGAGGTGAATGAAACAAGGGAAGCCATTGAATATAGGTATTTCTTCAAATCAAATTTTCGGTAAACGTCCTCAGAGAGAAAAAACTACTTCCATATTAAACCCGTTTCCCACTACGCGAATTTATTCGCGCCAACTGACAAAAATAGGAAGCGATTCTACCCTTTCGTGCCGAATTTTTTCGCAAGCCAATCACATCACTGCCACTGGATTTCCGTTCGCGTCGCGCGAATAAATTCGTCTAGTAGAAAACGGGCTTTAATATCACTATGATTTTAGTCGATTCTGACTTGCATGTGCGCTCTCAGTAATGCGCCGACCGAACATCTCTCGGCTGAAACAAGATGGCGCTTTAGATCGAGCGAGGGTCGGAAAAAAAGCCCGATATAATATTGTTGTGATATTCAGTTTACCAATTTTCTTTATTTTTCTACGTTTACGCCTTTTGAAAATACACGAGCTTCGGTTCACAGCATTCACATGTCTCAAAGGGAGAGAGATTTTGTTGACATTTGATTGTGATGCAATGATGGCATTTGGTCAAATTTGGTCACAGGTAGCCCGCTATCGTGTAGCTTCACGTGAAGTATCTTAATCCTTAATTCGACTGCTGCAGGCGCCGCCATTTTTTTTCAGAATTTCAGTGCACTTCACACTTTAATTATGTATTATGTATATATGTAAACATATGATCAGCTAAATTTGATCTAACGAAATGAAAAATCACGACAGAAAAACATCAAGTTATATAGAAATATAAGAATAGAGAGACTGTTCTGAACAAATTTATTGGTTTTGCTTTTGACAGTAACTACAAAGCAACAGGACTTACTTAATGAAACAGACATTTAATGCAACATTGCATTTAAATTTCGATCCTCCTAAATGTAATATGAGAGGGAAGCCCACAATTCCTGTTACTCATTGACTTTGAAAACAATTTTATGAACACAATTTTCATACTTTTCATACGTTTCGAGTCTGCAACACACTCCAGAGGCGTCTTCAAGCCAATTTTCCGCAATACGATTCCTCGCAGGCAGAGCTAACCAGTCGCTTCCAAATTCCTCGTCGTGGTCGTAGCATCCCAACCAGCACTCACGACAATACTTCGTCAGGACAACCAGCCACACGGCACACATCGTCAAGTCTCTCAAACAACTTTAATCTAAGGCAAAACATCGATATATCTGCTCATAACATAGATTTATGAGTTATAACACCGATTTATTTGTTTACAACATCGATATATTGTGCATGACATAAATATATGTGTTTTGAACATTTTGTCCCTAAAAAAACTTCATAGAATACCAAGGTGTATGGTGTTGATATATGATACTGAGGAAGTGGATAATGAAGCCCATTCCAGCTACAGAACAGAACAAATATTTGCATTAATTTCTTAAAGCACTACTAAAGCACTATTAAAGCAAGCAATTTCAGAATCAACATGCAAGATTGAACAGGTTCCCAGCAGGTCATAAACAGAGTACATAATTTGAAGCTACATGGTATAACAAAAGAGTGAAATTATATTCTTGAATAGAAACAAAATCATGTGAATAGGCCGGGCACTTTCTGCGCAATTTCGGACCAGGTGCAAGTAAGGTGCAAGCGTTGCTTTAACTAACAAACGTTCATATACACTCGAATTTTTTGTTTTTCTACATCGCGTGAAAAATTTTTTGCTCAAATTTTTCGCAAGCGCGATTGGAAAGTAGCGCATTCTCTCACTGGCTGGGAACAGGGCCCTTATATAGTATATAATAATGCATATACTAAATAAAAAAACTTATAATAATAATATATAGCTAATAATACATATACTATATACTTAGGGCCTAATTCTACGGCCGCTTTTTCTCGGCAAAATGCGAAATATAAATATTTCGCATTTCGGTTGAAAATTTGGCCCGTGGAATTAGGGCTTTATACTATAGTAAGCGCCCTGATTGGGAAATTCACGTGACAGCTGTCCAACCTCCTCTGATTTGCACCCGAAGCCAAAGCGTTAGTGTTTTTCCAAGTTTTGTTTTGTTTTTCAAAAAAAGAATGTAGCTACTTTTGTTTTTGTATCACAAGAGTTG